GTGCAGCTCTATGGTGCAGCTCTATGGTGCAGCTCTATGGTGCAGCTCTATGTTGCAGCTCTATAGTGCAGCTCTATGGTGCAGCTCTATGGTGCAGCTCTATGGTGCAGCTCTATGGTGCAGCTCTATAGTGCAACTCTATAGTGCAGCTCTATGGTGCAGCTCTATGTTGCAGCTCTATGGTGCAGCTCTATGGTGCAGCTCTATGTTGCAGCTCTATGGTGCAGCTCTATGTTGCAGCTCTATGGTGCACATTGCACAGTAATAGTTAGAGTTGTCTAACCATTATTGTCTCAATAGTTGGACAGTAATGTTTACTGCTACTGTTTTTTCCCCCTCGTCCGTTTAATGATGTTGTGTCTTCCTGGAGACTAACTCATTAATTTTCCCTTCGTTTCCAGCGACAGCGAGCTGACAGACTGTCCACCGGCTTGTTAAACTCTGCCAGGACTCCGGCTGACATGTTTTTGTTTTAACAGCCTCGTTTCTTCATGGATATCAGTTCATTATGCCTTTAAATCCTTCGCGTCTAAAGGCAGACATACATTAGTTTTTTTTAAATCATCATGCCTGCTGTGTTAAAGTTCTGTACTTTTAATGATTTATTTGAACTGGGTGGATGTGTAAATATATTTATACAGCAACCCTACAATATTATGAGTCTACATTTACTTTGTGCTGCTAACGCAGCCCAGCCATAACTCTGGATGGTTCGTTATTAGAAATAGTGGATTTCATCCAAACTGCTTTCCTGTCATAAATCCCACTTTTAAACTGCCGGTATTTTGTAAAATCAACATTTTTTTTTTTAGCTTTACATCTTGCTACAGTGTTATTCTCTCATCAAAAACATATATGGAGTGTTGCCTTTACTCTATCATGCATGAAGGAGAAATCCCTTAATCTCCATGGCAACCATTCAGCTGTGCAAAATGCCTGGGTGAACTCAGCTCCGCCTTCGACGATGAAGCCCCGCCTCAGAGCCTTGGTACCTTGGTAACAGAGTTTCTGCTTTACCAAGCTTCCCCCCCTCCACCGCAAACATTGTGCACATTGAGAATTAAATGATGAAATATTCACGATATGTTGTGCAGCTCAACCAAAAGAACATCTGACAACCATTGAAATCTCAAGATTCTGCAAAGTGTTATGAAGCACATCTAGGAAAGGAGAAACAAGTTCAACAGACAAAAATGGGAATGTGCAAGATGGATGGCAACTTCTTCTTAGCAGCAACTGTCTGGTCAGACTTTGTAAAAAAAAAAAAAAAAAAAAAAACAGAAAGGTGAGGAGACTTGCAAAGCAAACAGGAAGAATTGCGAATAGTGTCTAGGATCTGAAAATATTCCTTTACCTGGGATTGTTTTGCTGGCAGGACCGAAAAGGGAACGCTCCATATTACTGGGAACAGGCAATGATGATGTCACAAAGTGCAGCATCTCCATCGTTTTGCTCTCTGTCTTTCTGTTTTAGTGCAGCAGCAGCGTTCTGGATCAGCTGAACGGATTGACTCGTTGGGCAGACCTGTGAGGACACTGTCACAGCAACACAGGCGACTGAAGATGAGTTTCTCTAGAGCTCGCTGAAACATTACGTCTTTACTCCTACGAATGTTCTTCAGGTGATAGAAGGCCAACTTTGTAACTGTCTTTATGTGGCTCTGAAGGCTCAGGTGGGAGTCAATCACTACTCCCAGATTTCAGGTTTGATCGCTGGTTCCTCGTTGTGATAACTGACTCTAAACAGTTCCTCTTTGACATTAATGCGCTTACTGAATCTTTGTTCCGACCAGAGCTGAGCGTTTCACCCTCGACTGCCTGACAGAGCACTTCTTCTGCTCCTGACTCGCAGCGCCGCCTCATATTTATTATGTAATAATCTAAGAAAAGACTGCCATAGCCTGGGAAGGCCTCAGCTGGTGTAAAAATAGACTGACAGCACGGGGGGAAGAGTTGGGGATGATCTGCCTATTTTTAGCACCAGGGCCCCTTTCCATGCCTAAGAATAGCAAACAGAGACGTTTCATGTTCACCCTGCGCATGTCAGGCGGATCTCACTCCTGAACGGCCGCAAATGTCCTACAGGTGCATGTCATCGATTTTAACTCATGTATATCTTTTCAAATATCAGTCCGTCCTCCACTACTCATCACAAAGCGTTTTTGTTGTTGTTTTGTTTTTTTTAACGTGGAGTTGCTCGCAGGTTGATGAGCTTGGGAGCGACGACAGGGGAAATAAAGCGGATGGGAAACATGCGCTCTGAGAAGCGCCAGGCCCCCCTGCATCAGCCTGGCTGGTATTAGAGTCATGCTGAGCTCGTTCAGGTCCGCTTTATTGCTTCAGAGCCTCCAAGCAGCTGGTGCTATGGGATAACGGTGAGACATGGGGAGCACCAGAGGAGTGAGGAATGACAAAAATATATGGTTTTCTGTTTGTGTCGAAGACGGAAAGCAACGAGAGGCCTTTTTAAAATAATAATAATAATAAAAACATTTTAGAAGTTCATTTTGTCAGGTAAATACGGGAAATTGACTTTTTTTTCTGTTTAGCTGTTCAGCATGCCGTAATGTTATTCCCTCATCAGAAACATTCTTGTTGCTTTGAATCTTTTGTTGATGTTTGGGGAGTTTGTGCCGGTGGAAAAATAAAAATGAATGAAAAGCATTTATTGTGAAAATCTGGGTGTCGCTTTTTCCATTTGGCCTGCAGAACCTTGCGCTGCACACTTTGTTCACACTTTGTTCACACTTTGTTCACTGCACAGATGAGCATTTTATCACAGTGGTTCAGGCCTGCATATGACATTTTTCAGTCCAAAGTTGGTACCATTGCACCTCAATAAAGTGTAACATTAGCCTAGCATGTTGCTCAGCTTTGGGTTGAGGATTCCAATTAAAGCTTCCAGATATAGCTTGAAGTGGGAGGCGACCTCAATGGCACAATAACTCATCACGGAGTTAAAAGTAATGTGAAGATAAACACGGAGAGCAGATAGCAGCGAGGGCTCATTAAAATGTGGAAGAGCCTACAAACCAGGAAGGGAGCAAAATTTACTGGCTGTAATTAGCACACTGTCACCGGTTGCACAGCAACCCACACGCTTAGCATGTCAGATTACTCCCCAACTGCTTTAAGTAATAATAATAATAATAATAATAATAATAATCCGACATGCAGAAAAACACTTTTCGAATGAATCAAGACCAGTGGTCATTCATTATTGGAGGTTTCCAGTGGATGTCTTTGGTGTAATAACAATAAGGCACCAAACATATTGAGCATCATAATCTTAGTGGCAGAGAAAGAGAGAGAGACAAGAGAGAGAGAAAAGAGAGTGTCATGCCCCACTGGGAGGACAGAGAAATATAGATAGAGAAAAGAGAGAAAGAGAGCCTCTCTCTCTATATAGAGAGGCTCTCTTTCTGTATAGAGAAAGAAAAAGAGAGTAAAGAGAGAGAGAGAAACACAGAGAGAGAGGCTCCTCTGTGTTTGTTAATCTTCTGTTTTCACCTAAAATCCTCAGCAACCTTAAGCCCCTTTAGACGCCTTGACATGAAGTAGAAAACAGAAAAATCCTATTAAAGCCTCACTTTTTATTAGTTCCTGAGCCATGGAGATTTCTGACTTATAATGTTTCCAAGTAATAATAAAGTGAGACTATTGTTTTGAATACATCAGATTTTATTCTATATTAACAGTACCTTTGGCAGCAAGGTGCTGTCTTTTCCACCATGTTATACGAATATGACATATTAGTATGTGATAAATAAAAAAGTTCACTCAAACATGTCAAAAGAAGGCCTGTATGTATTATGAGGTGCTAAACTTACAAAAGGACAAAAATAAATTTCAATAATTTCTGTCTGTCATAAGAAAGAAAAAAAGGGGTTTATTGTTCAAAGTTTTACCATGTCATTCATTCATTTATTAAAGTCCTAATTTCAAACTAGCTTGAATATTTAATGGGCGGCTCAGCGGTTACATGCGGCCATTTCTGTCTTTAAGAAGTGTAACAGACTCCCTGAAGAGTCGGGCAGACAGAGGCTGTTTTCTAGAACGAGACCCTGTTGTAACTGGTTTCATCTTGAGATGAGTGTTGGAGAGGTGCAATGGTGTGAATCTCCCCCAGTAATTTGGCTCTGCTTTAAAAGCCACTGGCTGGCTGCGTCAATCAACACAGGCGTCCATCAGGACTGAGAACGTCTCTTATTTTTAGGTTTTTGCAGATCGCCAGCGGCTGCAGGAGCCAAAGATTTCTGTGCTTTTAGAAGCATTTGTCCCCTCACAATTATTCTGATGAGCAAATAAGATTTAGTATCAGATAGATAACCTGAGCAAATCCAAAGTTTAGATTTCAAATTTCGTTTGTTAAGAGAAATTGCTTTAGGAGTCCCTCGGGGATCTTTGTGTTGTTCCGTTTCAGGATGAATTTAAAAACTCAATTGCAATTTGCGTGATGCATCGTTTTCTCTTTTCTCTCTTTCTACCAAAATCTGGATGATAAAAGTCTTCAGTCTGGTCCTTTGGTCTCAACCAGCCCTTTTTATGAAAGGCAACTTTATTTACAGGGACTTCATAATTAACGTGGTTTTTATCGTTTTGTTGAATTATTTTGGATGTTTAAAACGTTTTTCCAGTCCCAGTGTTATTTTTTCACTCGAATTTAAGGTTTATTGATCCTTGAGAATGTGTTCTTGCATTACAGTGCCATTACCGTTACATCAATATCATCGTTTATCGCAATAACTTATGAGAATTTATTGTCAAGGAAATTTTCTTATCAAAATATTTTTCATTGCAGTTTGATGACCTGGAACACCAAAAAGCGAGCAAAAATAATAATAACGATAATAATAATAATAAACCGCAAGAGAAATCTGGAAGTGTAAATATTTTTTTCACAGCATGTTGCAAAGTTACCAAAGGAGCCCAAAGGAGATTGCTTTTCTTTTTTTTTTTTTCCATTTTCAGCCACAGAAACACAAACACCACAACAAGACGTATCATATGAATATTTATTCAAATATTATAATTCTTACAGATACGGTCTTTTAAAATAATCAGTTGCTTTTGGCTTTTGTTGTTCCTCTGAAATCTGTGCAGTCTTGTAATCTCTTAACTCCTCATTTGAAGGAGTTTATAGGAATAAACGTTTTCTTTTATTTTTTCTTGTGTGGTAACATCATGCACAAAAAAAAAAAAAAAAAAAGAAAAAAAAACATTGTAAATTGTTCAAATTTAGGACCTGCTACAAAAATAACTTTCAACAAAACGTTGGTTTTATTGTTTTACTTCATGACTAACTCTGGCTATGTTTCGGTGGAGTTAAAAAAAGAAAGAAAAAGAGAATATTGATTATTTAAATAGAACATCTGAAGGCATTGCATGATTCCCAGATTGATCAGTGAGCTACTTAAGGCAAACAAGTCCTTGAAATAACACAAAGTGCAATTAATGGTTGCTTCGACCTACCGGTGTATCCTGTCTGCTAAATAAATAAATAAATAATAATAATAATAATAATAAAATAAAATCCAACACATGCAAACTTGGTACATGCTAGAATAACACGCCAGGTTATTATAACAGAATATTCATCACAGGCATTCAAACAAACCACTTTGTCCGATATAATAATTTACAGTTTATGTTACATGTGTGAAGATCGCTGGGCGTTCTGATGGCCGGCTCTCAGCAGACTCAGTCAGAAAGTGTAAATACAGCCAGAACCAGAGAACTGAATAAAAATACAGTCACTTTATTTTCCCCCTTCAGTGTCTCAAGTTCAATCAGACCAAAATTATTTCCATTTGTTAAATGCCAGAAAATCTTGCAAGAATAGTTTTTAGAGATGCCTTTTGTAATGTTATATCCTTGAATTCAAAAGTTTTAACTTGATTTGGTTTTAGTGTGATGACAGTTAGGTCAACCTGTCAGAAGTTTGTAGGTTTGACCCAAGCTGCACAGTTTAAGTCTGTTATCTCCAACACCGGCCGAACGTATGTAAACCTTTTTTTTTTTTTTTTTTATTCCGCCCCCCCAAAAAGACCTTCTTAAGTTTTCTGGCATTTTGCAAATAGAAATAATTTTGGTAATTCCAACTAAGCTAAAACGAGAAAAGTTTGATCTGATTTAACTTCAGAAATGAAGAAAAAAAAAAGTTTTTTTATTCAGTATGTAAGTGTCTGGTTTCAATATTTCGTGGTACGCTTATTCCATGCTGGTCTGACGGTGTGTGATTTCGACAATCTCCTGCACTGTAAATACTTTAACTGTCCCCAACGTTGACTCCAGTCCCCACATGGATCTACTCTCACGTCAAAGTGCCGTTTAAATAACTGCTCCTCCTCATCCTGCAGGTGAAAACCCCACAACCCCCAAAAAAACTCAACAAAAAGGATATTTCATATAAACAAGGAGCATCTCTAATAACACATCTGGAATGTAGTTCTACTTTGTAGTAAATCAGTAATTTGATTTCTAAACGGCATTATCAATGACCTCCGTGATAACGTTGCAGGTTTTCGTGTTTCCCAGAGCTCAGCCGGTGGCGCCGCGTCGGCCCGGCTGAGCTCCGGTTTCCAGCGCTCTCTGTCATGAGGGGAACATCTTTAGGAAGATCTGCGTTCCCTCCAGCAGAGATTGCTGTGGAGTCGCTGCCAAAGGCCCAGAGAGGCTGATATGTAGGCACAGAGGGGCGAGAGAGTTTCCCAATAAGACACTTTATGTTGGGGTTCCTTCCTACTTTGTCCTAACTCTGTGTGATATTTGTGCTGCACAGGAGAATAACCTGATGTGCATAAACATTTTAATATTTTGTGGGATTTGGTTATTTTTTAAAAGGAACCTTAAACAATATGACACATTCGATGACGTGTTTCAGTCGGCCATGAGTTCTTGTCCATTTTGCGCCAGTTGCCAGAGGAGCAAAGCAGCTGGAGTAAATTGGAGAATCATCCCAATCGGAAAGAAGAACATGTCAAATAGTGTTTCAATAAATCTTTTGAAATTATGTTTTATAATAATGAATGGAAAAAAAAGAAATAGAAATGAAAATTACTGATGAAAAAAATGTATTAAGATATAATTTTAATAATTTTTTCCTCACCTTTGGAGGATTCCTCCCCCCCAAATCAAACTGAATGGGAAAAATCCCAGGCGGTCCACTTAAGGGAAATGAGAATAAAGCGGAATGTCAACGTTAGGCAACGAAGGTCGTATTGTTAAAGGTTCCCTTAAAAAAATCCCTTAATTTCTATTAAGTCATGATGTTCTTTTGACATTTTATTTAAAATCCAACCAGTAAGAAGACAATGTGGTCCGTGTCAGGATTGTTTGACGCGCATCGAAACCATGAACCTTCCCCCGTTACAAGCTGTCCTTACGTTTGCAATAACAGAACAAAGACCAGATTATTGTAAAAGCTTCAAGCATTTAAAATACCAAAACAAAACAAAACAAAAAACAGTTTTTCACTCACAGAAACTCTTCGTCATCACTCAGGCGTGATGTTATGTCAGTGTCATGCATGTTTCATATATAAATACACGTCCTGGATGTTTTGAGTGGGTGTGAGACGCAGAAGGCCTGCTGTCAAGATAAGTAAACCAGAGGCGGCGCCTTTCGTTTTGGACCGGTCGGCGCGGCGGTCACAGAGTGCGGCGGCGGTCTGATGCGAGTCGAGCTTCCACAGTATTTACATGTAAAAGACTTCCTGCCTGCTCCTCCAGTCACGGAGCGAGACCGCAGTGCTACATTGTGCAGTTCCACATTCACACTTTTGTACAACAGATCCCAGCCAGGACAAAACACCACGACCTTCAACCCCCGTGACCCCAGGGAGGAACCCTATTCAGTCAGAACTGAACAAGCTGTTGTTGTTGTTTTGTTTTTTTCTGGGATTGAGACGCTACACTTGAACAGCATGTTAAATTTGGCAGAAATAACATTGCTACAGAGTGTTTTTTTGTTTTTTTTTTCATAAGGTTGATTTTTCTAACACGTAAAACATACACCGTTCTCTAACCGTTTATGTTTATAAAAATACAGGCCTGTCGTTCATGATTTAAATATGAATAACGTCTGCAGAAACATTGATAAGGCCTGTTAGTCATGATTTAAATATGATTACAGGCCTCCCGTATAAAATGTAATTCCATTATATGAGCAGTATAGAAGCAGCATCTCACTAACAGTTTTGACCTATACACACACACACACGCACACACACGCACGCACGCACACACACACACACACACACACATGCACGCACGCACGCACGCACGCACGCACGCACACACACACACACACACACACACACACACACACACACAAAGGCAGAACTCTGTACAGGTGTATAAATATCTCAGAAAAATGTTTTAGAAGCAGTTAATAACCAGATGTTCAAATGAAAACATCATCAGCCAAGAAGTATACTGTGATTTTGAGGCGTGAGTTTAAAAAGTTGCTGTAAACATTCTTTATATAAGATTCCTTGACTGAATAGGGCCCTAAAGACACAGGTTCAAATCTACTGTACAGTATACGGTACACAAATACACAGGAAAACCTTAGTTCACACATTTACATAGAGAAAGACAGCGCTCTGTATGAACGAGTTTGATGACTGATTGGGAGGACAATGTTTGTGCTTTGCGAGGATTTCAAACCGCGGCGGCGCAGTGACACGGCCGGACCTGTCTAAAAGTGACAGTGCAATTACCTGAACCACTTGGCTTTGATCATGAACCCTGACCTCTTGTGGAAAATGTCGCGGCTCACGTCTTGTGGCCGGGGATCAAACAGCGACAGTGGATCTCAGTGGGTTACCCAGACCAAAAAAAAACATCGAAAGTTCTCCAGGTCCACATGGGCCGGTAAACATTTGAGTAAAAATATCACTTTTATGGCAGTAAAAGACATTTTGAAGCCAACTGATTAAATGGTGTGTTGCGGCTCTCACTAGAACTGCTAGTGCAATAGCATCCGATTCAATTTTGTTTATTTTAGGTATAGTAGTAGAGGAGTGTGACGTTCTCACAAACTCTTTGCAATCTTTTGAAAATACGGCTTTTCAGTTAAACACAACAGTGGAGCAGCTGGGAAAAAAAAACCAGACTAATTACCAGCTGAATTCTGTGGAAACTTTGAGGTTTGCTAGTTATAAACAAACTTATCTATCCCAGCAGCGAGCTGACTTTTATCCGTTTATTGGGTCAACAGACATGCCAGCTGTAAAGCTTTGTGCTAACATCTGATTGCAAAAACGTTTGTTTTTTGACGTAACTTTGGGATTTAAACGGTTCTTAGCAAACCTGCCAATCACAGCACTAAGTCACTTCTGGAACAATTTATCATCCAGCAAAATTAGTAATTGTGACAGGCCTGTGTGCGCGTGCAAGATGGAGGCTCATATTGACCCAGAGCTGCTCAATGTGCCCTTCACTCCTAAATACAGAAGTGCTTCTGATGCACAGAGACATTAAAGCATTAAAGCTACCAGTGTGATATGTTTTACCCAAACATTTGTGCCGGCAGTGCCACAGATAAGAGATTTCCACTGACATAATCTCCTGTTGGACAAGGTAAAGCAGGAGTCCGCTGTAACTGTCTGAATCTGAGTGGAGCGCTGCTGCTGTCACGAAGCTTACAGGGGGTTTAAAAAACATTTAGAATGCATTGTTTGGTCGTCGTTGGGGAAAATCTGCCAGTAAATTTCAACCAAACAAAAGACGATTGTTTTTTTTTTCCCTCCCAAACCATGTTGGTGTTCAGGAGGAGAGGGAATGAAAAGCGGAGGTGGCGAACAGGACCGAACATCTGGACAAGTTCTGATTGCCACAGCTGGCCTGAAGGCCTCTGATGTCCAAGCATCACTTCACAGGTCGCTCCTGCCTGACCACGTGAAACACAGAACGGCCTTGAAGAAAACGATCCATTGAGACGAACAGTTACAACACGAAAGGGCAACAGGAGGTGCGTTTCCACGCTTCGGAAAGTTCCTGCTGTTACGTAAGGCAGGGTCCGGTCAGGACAAATGTGACGCAGTCTGTGTTTCCCACGCTGCCGTAGTTCAGCTGACCTCGCGATGCTTCCTTTATTTTATATTTAGAAGAAGAAAATAAGAATAAAAAAATCAAAGAACATGTTGACACCTCTTTCTCTGGGTGTTAAGTGCTGTTTTCGCCCCTCAGATTTCTGGCTCCAAATAGTTATAATTGCTGACATGGCAGCCAAAAAAAAGTGTAAACGCTGGTTTATAAAAACCCACTGACAGATTTTCTCCAATTTAAAGTTTTTAAAAATTTTTGTTAGGATTTTGGGACTTTTTTCTTTTTTTAAACAACTTGAATCGAGTCACTTTAACTTGTTTCACTCCTCTTTAAAAGTTTGACATTGGCACATCAGCTTTAGGTAGACGCCTCCTTGAGGCTCGTCAGACTAATTTCAACGTCAGGCAAAAATAACCTGAGCAAACACTTCAAAAACAACATATCCAAACCTAAAACCTACGCTCGCAGAGAAGACCCGCTTAAAACTGACAGCATTTCAGAAGCAGAACATCAGACGCTCATGATGGAGGGTTTTGTCCTACTTTGCTGCTTCCGGGCCTCTGATGATGGAACCAAGATCTTTAGCAAGAAATCCTTAAGGAGGTTGTCTGGAAGTCCGTTTGTTGCTTTAACAGGACAGTTTTATGTACATTTCCTTCACAGCACTGAGGCAGACATGCAGCCAGTTATTACAGAGGCTTGACGCCAGGTGTTGCCGCAACCAATTACTAGTTTTAGGGTGCAATTATTTTTTCGCATTGGGCCGGGATAATGTTTTTCACTTAATGAAGGATTGCATCATTTGAAAATAACACAATTTTCTAATTACTCGGGTTATCTTTGCCTGATATTAAAGTCTATCTGATCATTTAAACGTTTAAATTTGAAATGAAAGTGAAAACCTTTTCACGGAGCGCTGCGTGACTTCCCTCTGGATAAGGAGTTTGAGTTTCGTTGGCTGGTTATCAGTTCTTTACCGTGTGTTGATGCCTGCTCTGATTGCAAACACATTGGCATGAGAGGTTTTAGAGAATTTGGCAATAACCGTGTTCCTGGTTAAAGCTGCAATACGTAACTTTTATGAAAATAGTTGCTTACATATTTATTGAAACTGTCACCATTTCGCGGCAGCATAGAAAGAGGCAGATTATGAAATCAAAAAATTAAGCTCCTCCGCCTCCTCCTCCTCTAGTGCGAACTAAAAACAACCAATCGGAGCCAGGAGGCGGGGATTAGTGCTGTCAATCATCCTAATGATCATACTCTTCTCTCTCCCCATTTTCTATCTGCTACAATAAAGTAGCGAAGGCTAATGCTAGTTAGCATGGCCACCAATGACAGCGGATGAACTGTTTTTCTGTAACGGTAACTTGTTTCTCTGCCATTAGCCCGTTTAGCAGTGAGTACATGAGCATGAGTGACAACACTAAGACCCGCCTCCTGGCTCTGATTGGTTGTTTTTGGTGGGGAGCGCTGCATTTCTTCAGACAGCAACAGCAGCTCAGGGAGGAGGTGGAGGAGGTCGATGTGTTCAGATTATCTTTCTCAAAATAAATTGTCACAACACCGTGACAGTTTCAATAAATATGTGAAAAACAGAAAGCATTTTTTAAAAATAAAACTGACAGACTGCGTCTTTAACTAATATAACTCACAAGACTTGTTCACAAGAAAAGAAATGACATTTACATTTTGTACAGAGTAAAGTAAGAGGTAGAGAGACGTAACCAAAACACAGCCATGCCTCTGAAGTGCAGACTTATTTTCACCAAAATACCGGCGCTGAAGATCACAGCTCACAGCCAGAGACTCTGTAATGAGAGGTGTGTGTGTGTGTGTGTGTGTTTTTGACTGCTGGGCTTGGAGATCCTCATTTCCAGAAGCCGTGGTGCAGAGGGGACGATGCCAGTGAATGTTTGCTGACGCTAACAGTAAGGCTGGATGGAGTCCCTGCTGCATTTTGATTTGACCCGACCCCCAGGGAGCGCCGCTGCCTGCTGGAGCCGAGGTGGGCGGAGCGGAAGGACGGAAGATCTCAGGTGGTGACGGGTTCGTCTGCGGCGGAGCGTAGCAGCGTTGGCGGCGGTGCGACGGGAACAAGCCCTGAGTGTGAGACGACATTGCATGCTTCGTCTACACTAAAACATGCTATATTCATGTAAAAGGAAACAGAGTATAATTGCTGTACATGTAGTGGGAAACGAAAATGGCACCACGGCCTAAATGTTTTTAAATTCACAACGTCTTGGTTCTGCAGGTGAAAAATATGACTCTGAAAGGTTTTCACATTGATCGGTATAAATTGTTTATCACCTGAAAAAAAAAACCCCTCTGCTTTCCTCATGTAAACATTGAAGTATCAAGAGATTTTGTGTTCAGGAGGTTCAGGAAGCGAATGCAGAAGAACAAAGAGGAGCGGACAGTGTTTGTCACTAGTTCGGACCTTTTCCGGACGTCCTGTTCCTTCTCCTCTTCGTTGGATTTTCTCTGGTTGGAAACCCATCAATTTCCAACCGCCACGACCTTCAAAAGTACCCGAGCACAAAGTCCTGTCGCTGAAATCATGGAAGCATCCCCAAGTCAGGGCTACACGCTGCAGCCAAACATTCCTGATAGTGCAACGTGAGACAGCGGGTGAAGTTCACCGTGTGCTCACAGGCTTCCAGTGAAGACTATAGCGAGAAAAGGAAGCTCAAAGAGAAGATTCCGGTAAAAGCTGGCCAAGCCGATGGGGAGGGTCGGGGGGCCTCGGCCCTTCAGATCCGGCTTACCCGTCTGGTGTGGAGCGGGTGGACGGCCGGGGGCGGACACGGAGTGTAAGGTGGCGGCTGGGGGCCGGGTTTGATCCCTCGGGTCCTCATGTAGGAGAGAAACTGGTCGGGGATTTCGGCGAGCACTTCTTTAGCCAGACGAGCCATGCTCAGGATGTGGTTTCCTCGCCGGTCGATGTAGTCTCTGAAAGGAACAAACTAACGAGGAAAAGAAGCGAAAAAATGAGATATGAAAGGTGGAAATTAAGTGGGCAAAAGGCAGAACACAGAGTCAACCACCACGATCTGTTCCATTATAGCTACACTAGGTAACTTTTATGAAAAATATGTTTCTTACCTATTTGTCAAAACAGTCACCATGTCGTGACAATATGATATGAGATAGTGCCACACAGAAAATGAGTGACAGCGCAAAGACCCGCCTCCTGGCTCTGATTGGTTGTTTCTAGTTGGCATTGGGAAAAGGAAGAGGAGCTGTCTCACGACATGGTGACCGTTTCAGTAAATATGTAAGAATTTTTCATTTTTTTCATAAAAGTCACACTGCTACTTTAATCTCAAATTTCACATTTCCTAGTCGGGAATACTCTATACCTGAACGATGTCCCTCTCTGCATATCGTCCCTGCGATGAGATCCTCTCTTCGTCCCCATCCAGCTCAATCATTTCTGCGAAGGAAGCGACATCACTTCCTTACTGTCAGCCAGGAGAATAAAAACACAAGCTGGCTTGTCTGAAGTCTCATCCTTCAATGAATTAACTCTGATTTGAGGATGACCTGGTTGAGATGCCAACCAACCAGTCGGTAACGTTCTTTGCGTACTTTGACAAGGTCTCTTTTGGAGCCAGATGATGCAGTTAGGTTGACGGTACAATATTTCGTTAGCCACCGTGAAGTCATTTGCATATTAGCGGCCCACATATCCTAGGAGACTACGCCAAATGTGGAGCGATGCGGAGAATCTGCACGGCTGAGCGTGATGCCACTGGGATGTCACCTACCTATAAGTGTGGGCTTATGGGAAACGTGACGGAATATGTTTGCAACGGCACTGCAGGGACATTAAACAGCCAGACACAGCAGATTCAGACGTGTGATCATTTCTGTGGAGCGCATTGCTCAGCCTCAATGAGCTTGTTTTCACAGAGGACTGGTCTGGTGTTCGTAAACAATACAGGAGACGATGTGAGGCGAATAAAAATCATTTGCTTTTTCTGAAAGAGAAATGAGATTTTTGTTTTTAACCTTCTGTTTTATGTCTTTACTGCTTTGCAAAAGCTTGAATTTTTTTCATATTTTGTTACGTTCCAAATTCAAATTTGAATGCATTTAGTCGGATGATGGAACCATGAACTCTGTTCTTTAGCAAGAAATCCTAAAGGAGGTTGTCTGGCCATTCGTTTGTTACTTTAAACCAGTGATTCTTAACCTTTTTCGAGGTGCCAAGCCCACCAGTTTATATGCGCATTCACTGAACCCTTATAAAATATGATTTCTTTTCCAAATTCAAGACATAGGTATATGCTTTTTTTTTTTTTTTTTTTTTTTCACAAAATGAGCATTTTCAGTTGATAATGCATGCACTTTAATGTATGTATTAGTGTATGTATGTTTAGTTTTTCAAAACAATTACATTTTTTGCTGTTTGCCTGTTGAAAATGTTGAGTTTCTGAAGGGACCTGCTTTATTCTTTTAATGTACAGAACATGCAATTTTTCTTTGAAGGAAATTTGCTTTTGTCTGTTTGCCTGTTGAAAAATGATTTCACTTGAAATTACTGACAGATCCATAAGAAAATATGGCTTTATTCATTTAATTATTAAGTAATATACACGGTGTTAGGTCTTGGTTCAACAGGCTATGTCCAATCATTTCAACATGTTTTAATAAACGTAGAACCAGTCCGGCCCTCGGCGTGTAGCAAATTTGGTTTTTTGGCCCTCTGTGTTTTTGACTTTGACATCCCTGATGTACTCCATCTTAAGTCCAGAGCATACTAGCTTTTTTTTGTAGCAGGAACGCAGTCGATCTGCGTTCCTGCCCTGATCTACGGTCGCAAGCTCTGGGTGGTGACTGAAATAACGAGATCACGGATAAAAGCAGTTGAACATTTCCTCTGCAGGGTGTCTCAAATTATAAACATGTAAGAAGACTTGAAAACTAACATTCACATGTGCCGATTGAGCTTTAGCTCTATTGCAAAGAACAATGGGCAAAAATCCAAAAGACTAACTTCAACAAAAGGTGATTCCTAAAACTATTGGCTGAGTATGGCTAAACCAATATTACTGTGTTCCAATTTGTCACATACACACACCTCAAGCTACTTACCATCAAATTCTGCCGGTCCAACTCCAACTATTATAATCGACATTGGCAGAGACGCGGCCTGCAAAAAGGTGAAACAAATAGAGGGACATTAAAGGCAGCAACACTCAATGAAATCTCCATTGGCAAAGTTAAACTCCGCACGCTGTCACCCAAATTACCAAAAGCACGGTGAAGAAACGGTTCATGCAAAGGGAGCCCTAAGTAAAATGTCATCACTATTGTTAAGACATCCGCGGCGTGTTTTGTGAAGCCTCTCGCAGAGCCAATTTCTAATTTCATGCGTCTACGAACTTGTCTAAATCTCCCGAAGCTTATTGGTTTAGAAACGAGTCCAATTTACATCCACCTCTGCTCACCCGAACCCCAAGTCTCGGTTCAACTGCTGATCGGCGCCGCAATATTGTTTATTAAATCTCAGTCAAGTGGGACAACAAAGCGGGGTTTTAGCGCTGAGTGATGAATGGAGGTTTTGTAAGAGTTTCATAACTTCCTCCGGTTATTAGACTGAGGACTAAAACTGCCAGAGGAACGAGGGACGTAGGAAATAATCACTCTCACGCCTTACTTTATGCTCCACCAAGACGAGGGCGGGAGAGGCTTGGCGTAACTCGGCCGATTTAGGGCAGCAACTGGGGCAACTCGGTTTCCAACCGTTGGAGATCACCTGAAATCATTGCCTGCATTAACTCCGAGCAAACTCATTAGGGTTATTAAAGCTGAAAACACAGAGCAGGAAGGCGGGGGTGACTACGCCGCCGTCGCTCCACCATCACACCCCTAATTAGTGGAGATAAGAGTGCAAGTGTAGGACGCATGAGAAGACTTTTGCTTTTTATAGCCTCCCTTTCATAATAGGTGTTTGCTGGTTTATCAGGACCTTTGTTGGAGTCTTAATTATAGCGAAAACCTCCAGGGTTCCTCGCTAATTTTGCAGTGTATCAGCAGCATGATGGCGTGCACATGGACTGCTGCTGCCCACAATACTGTGAATCTCATTTATTGTGTCTTTATAATAGTTTGGGGGTTTTCATTATAGTTCACTTTTATCTTGTTGTGATTTTAGTTTTAATTGGTTTGCTAGTTTTTATTTGTTAAATAGTGCTTAGTTTGTATTTAGTTTCAGTTTCCATTAGTTCTCATAGTAGTTTTGGTTTATTCACACTTTGATATTTTTTGGTTTCTCCACCTGAAAATGAATCAAAGTATTGTATTGTGATTATTTATACATTGATTGGGTAATGAATACTGAATAAGGGGCTCGTTTTCTAAAATTATTCAGTTATTGTTGAACAATAACTGGAAACATCCTCAGCAAAAGACGTTTTCTCCCACTTTTTGCCATTTTACAGACGAGCTTAAAGCCACAATTTGCAGATAGCTGACGAAAACAGTCGTCTGTGTGGAGGGAAAATACGAAAATGACTTCACATAAGTTCTAAAGGCGAAGAAATAAATTCATAAACACTAAAAAGAAGGATATTATATCTAGAATTTCAATATATTCCCGTTTAATTCCCCTTTTTATTTATTTGCGGTCGCAAAAACCTTTCCTCAATTTTAGTTTTTGTTATTTTATCAGTTTTATTTCACTATAAGAACCTCGGCCTTTACGGGACGAAGAGATTTCTGCAGTAATGGAGGAAACAATCATTTTTCAAAAGCTTGTGCTTTTCTAATGAGGCTTCAAAGAGAATGAACGCAAATGCGTACATTGACAATGGACTCCTTGGTCTGCGCCATGTCAGTGATCACGCCGTCCGAAATGATGAGAAGGATGAAGTACTGCGATCCGTCCGTCACCGCCGATGCATACCTGCCGTTGAAATAGACAAGTAAACACAAAAACAAAGAAAAAGTTCAAAAGAGACGCAGCAACATAAAAACTTTCACTTCCATAAAACATTTTATCCAGACGTTTATGAGAGGAGATAAAACATGCGAGGTCTGCCTAATAGTTACCCCGCTGACAAGTTTCATTTGTTCCAAGGAAGAAGATTATGGGGAGCATCAATTTTATGGATGGGCAGATATTAACTTGCCACAGTAAGTGTTTAATAAGCCCTCCATCTCCAGCCTCCATCACCGGCTCACAATTATCTTATTACAGAAAACCTCATTTTAGGAAATTACCCCTCCGAGATTAGTGAAACTGTAGCTTTATTTTATTAAAGAAATATTGACCAATTAGACATCATGACAGCCAAACACAGACTTATGTAAAACATCAATTTATTTCGAAGTTTCCGTTTCTTGTTTTTTAAGCACAAATTCTAGTTCTTCACAGATGTTCCGACTAATAGCTGTTTGTAACTGTAATGTGAGCTACAACATCTTTCACGTCTGCTGTGTATCTGAAACAGTGACAATGCGATGCTGCAGAGGCAGCGCGGGCGTTTCAGCACCATAACAAATGTTCACGCTAAGTCATCAAATGAATAAAACATTTGTGAGCAGCACCACTTAAGATCAAAGAAGACACACAGCGCTGTACATTAAGGTCAGGTCCTTTATTTATTTATCTCCGCAACGAAACGGAGTGGCTCTTTTTTTGTTTTTTTCCTTTTTCCAGGACGCTGATGCTGAACGTCCGAGGTGACGGAGCGGACAGCGTTTTTTGCGAGTTTAACGACGCTCGGATACCGCAGAGGCACCGGCGCCTGAGGATTTGACGTGACATGATGTCTCTCGTTTGGCTGGCGTCTTCCTTGCTTTTAGTCAGAAAGCGGGCGCCGAACAATGCAGCTATTCTCAGGCCGAGTGGGCGGACGGAACGAGAGAGAGAGAAAGAGAGAGAGAGATGGGGGATCTGAAAGCCAATGATGAAAGGTGGGAAAAGTGCTTGTTACAGTCAGTCTCCAGGATCATGAGACGAGATCTGGCAGGAGGAGACGTCAGGTGGGAGTCGGGAGAAGCTGCCGCGCAAAACAGACTCAGAACTTTATTTTGTTCGCTTGGTATTTAGTCATGGTTAAAGAAAAGAAGAAGAAACAAACTTGTTTTCTCTCGATTGTAAAGTAAAAAAAAATTCCTCGCTTTTTGCTAAACACGTGAACAGTCGTGTGTGCATTAACAATCTACACTCTGTGACTCAGCACCTTGTAGCTTCGCCTTTAACAGCAATAATTTACAGGAGAGGTTATCTTTATGATTATGTCTGTCTATCACATTGTTGACTCACACTTCATTACGAGGTTGCAGACGTAGGCACAGGCCGTCAAGCAGGTTGACCTCTTAACTATGAAGGGGTCAATTCCAGAACCTCGGTTCTATTCCTTCATCCATTCTGTTCACAGGTGACGGAGTGAAAGTCACACTTCTATTAATCCACCAAGGCGCTACGGAGCTCATTTTTTTGCTTAGTGTTTTGCTAAAGTTGAAAATGTTTAGCGCTCTTAGCTTACCATAAATGAATCTAATGTGCAAATTGACTTGGCTGTTTTGTAAACTTTCAGGTGGATAAAGTTCAACATCTCTGCTGAAGTTCTGGGCACTGATGCTTTTATTCATGCTCTTATTTTGAAGTAGATGAAAAACATTTTACACAGCAGTTCTGTTTCCTCTCCCCACGTTACTCAAGCAAATGATGCTTATCCGCTACCCAAAATGCATTGGTCCGATGGAAGCAATGGCAGCAGTAAAGATACTGTAAGTTTCAGAGCACACAGGTTTTCCACTTTAGCTTAACAGATTACAAAAATATGACACTGTGGAGTTTGGTTTGACATTCTTTACGTTTGTTTAAATATAGAAACTGTTAAAACTGAATTAGTATTATGTCCTTAAGCGTAAAACCCAAACACTGACAGAATGCATACTTCGTTTTTCTTATGGCTGTATTCATCATTTAGGAAAGTGTTTCTGACAGACTCTCTCAGTATCTGCACGAGAGTACGTTATTTAGTTTTAAATATTTAAAAGACAGAAAAAGCAGATCCTTGCAAATGTTGCACCAGAAGCACGCAGGGAGCCACAAGCAGAGGATTAATCAGCTTTAGGTCCTTTTTTACCAGCATCCACTGGGATTCAGTTGATTGCTTGTCTATGAAGCTGGTGAGGTGAGGCATTTCCACTTCCTCAGAGGAAGGTTTTAACAGTTTCTCCTTTTTCCTCAAACGCCCCTCAGGGCAGCAAATTGCTCACCGCTCAACTAAAACCTAATTACCGTAGATGTCCACGCTTTAACAGTAGTTATTGATTTCTCCGCCTGAGCTAACTGCACATTTATTTTGACCTACCTGGCCACATGGTTGATAACAGGGGAGAAGTGGGTGGGGCCGTACAGACGCACACTCTTCAGGCTCTGGTAGTAGGCCTCCATCACGCCGTCAATGCCGCTGCAGTACGGGTTCTGAGGGTTACCGTTCTGAACACAAAGACGGAGGACAAAACGGACTTTCAAACCGGAGAACCGTCCAAGAAATTTTAGACAGCTTTTATACAGATTAATCAATAAAGGGGAGAAAATAAAGGAACATCCAGTTTAATTAGGGATATTTGTTTTAGATAATTGAACTGGAGTTGTTAAGTTTTTAAGTCAAATTAGAGTTAATCCTGAAATGCATGGCTTCAAAACTGACACCTTTGTGAAACAATCACTTCAGACATTTTTTACTAAAAGTTTTTTGTTGTTGTTTTTTCTTAAAACATCTTTTGAAAATAAATGGGTGGGTTTTTTATTATGACAAAATCAATTTTGGAAAACAACAACAAAAAAACTTTTAAAGTATTTAATAATTTGACAAAATATAGTTGGATTTATATACAAATCCATCTACATATCAACAAACCTCAAGAAAACTACATTTAACACTTTTTGTTTCAGTTCTGTTACATAATAATAATAACAATAATAATAAAAAAATCATATTTATTTTGTTATTGGCTGGTTAGGCCAATATTTTTCTCTTATAAATAATTTTATTGGTCTTCTGTGCTGTTTTATTTTCCACATTTATCTTTTCATTTGCTACAATTGATCAATCACTCAAATCGATTTGCAAAGGACTTTTCATAATTGGACACAGTGAAAAGCATAAATTCAAATGCTTATTGATGATTGTACCTTCATTGTGCCATTCATTCCTCCATTATTTCCCAAGTTCTAATCAGATGTTGACAAAATACAGCAGGCTCACAGTTCACCACTTCCCTGTGCAATCACTTCATCAACATCTTGTTTTATACCAGTGACATATTCCACTCCGCTCCGGTCTTCAAATGGGTGTGTGCCTTTTGAGATCTTACAAACACAAATTACACTGAATCACCCCGCAAGCACAGATCAGTCTATACAGTATTAAAGCATGATCGTTTTACAATAGAATAAGTAGCAGACTATTAAACTCATAGTGAGTCATGGAATTAAATGAGCGTTTGTAACACCGCAGTTACAAACGCTGAGCAGCAGAACAACTAGACATGCTGGCAACGACACACTCAGACTCTTTTTTTCTTTTTTCAATAGATTGGCTCTATAAACTCCATGGGCTTCAAGGTACAATCGTCAACATATATTTCATGGTTGGGTATATTCAAATCCAACCATTAAATCTGCGGTCTGTAACTTTTATGAAAAATAGTTTTTTTTCCATATTTGTTAAAAGTGTCACCACAGTATAAGATGAGACAGATAATCTGTGAAAAAAATTGATCTCTTTCACCTGGTTCCTGAGCCTCTGTCACTGTCTGAAGAAAAAAAGGTCCAAAACAAACCATTCAGAAGGAAAAAATAATTAGAATTATTAGCTTTTGTGACAGGCTATGAACCAGCTGTGGGGGTGAACACAAGAGTGATTGACACCGCTAAGACCCTCCCCCTGCCCTGTATTTTACACCACTATGAAGGCAGAGGAGCTAATATTTTTCAAAGGTTATCTGCCTTACATTGTCACATGATAAAGTTAACAAATATGTAAAAAATACATATGTATATTTTTAATAAAAGTTACAGTCTACAGCTCCAACTGAATATGATATATTAAAAAGACAAAAAAATATCACCTTTACCACGTTCTGGTGTTCACATAAACCAAACAAAGTTTTCCACATTGCTGTGTGTACTGTTGTGTGACAAATGAAAACATCTTATGAGCATTGATGTAACAAAAATTTGTGGTGAAATAATTCTAGAAGAATTCGTCAAAAAATAGGTTAGGCTGCTGTCAGTTGCAGCAGCTCCAAGCATTTAGCATGCTGAGCTGAGTGACTCATCACTGTAGAAATAGCGTCTGCGTAGTGCAGCATGAGTTTGAGTAATCTTATTACTGATTTACCCCCAGTTGGGTAGCACTTACATAAATTAGAATAAAGGTCACAGTATCAAATTATGTTAGAACAATAGTTTCTGCTAATATTCAGAGAAAAACAATAAAACATTTCTCCAAACTGGAAAAGGGCTTGGAATGACAAACTGTCTCAAATGCTTCATGCCACATTGTAGAATGACAGGATTACATTGCAGGGCTCTTAACCCACCACAGGGATGGATGATAAGCAGCATTCCTGTTTGAATTCAATGTTCCATACAAGTTCAAGATCAAAGAGTTTTAAGTACTTAAGAATCTATAATTTGGCTTTTGTTAAAAAGGGCTGCCACTCTGGCATCATTATGATGAAGAATTTTTTTGAGGAATGGAAGGACAGCGATGTGGACACGTCTTTAAAAGCTTCCTCGTCTGTTGGCATCAATGTACATTTTCTAGAAGTTAGATTTTTGTGCCAGTGAATGTGTTTTTCACTCGCTCGAAGGAAAGTTTCAAAGAAGAAACAACAGTAAGTAACTAAAAATAGCAGGAAGCCGTGTTTAACTTTGCTCGGTTACCCATAAATACAACTGCACATGGAATCCTTTGCTTTGTAAATGGAGCTTGTATAATTGTGCCACATTCAGCGGCCGCCCATTCCCACTACTACTGCTCTACAGTTGCAAGTGGAGTCCTTAATGCTAAGAATAATGCATGTGCGACTCGACTGGAGGTTCAGTGCCGTGGGGGAAGCTGCTACCCAACGCAGAGCAGCTGTACTGGCTGAAAACGCCTCTGGAAAAACATCTGGACGAGAAAATCGACCAAGACGGCTGTGTGGAGCTGGGGAGGAGTCAGGTTAACTTTTCTTTTGGAAAACGGGATGGATGGATGAGCTATGAAAAGTTAGACAAAGTGAAGGACTCTTTTCCATCTTTTTGGACTTAGAATGGCAATAAAGTCAAACGTAGCTAAATGACTGACTCAAATGTTCTGGTGAATGTGAAACAATGTGTTCACAACCAAACGCTAATCAGCACTATGTAATCACTTACATAGCCACAAATACCCACCATGGATATTTTGTACCGCTAAATTAAGAGCTTTGTGACCCTATGAAACAAAATAGATGAGATAAGTGCAAAAAATATGTTTAAAAAATATTTGTATTTGTAAAGAATACAAATATTCTTTACAAATATTTTTTACAAGTAAAAAGTGAAAAACATCAGGCAAAAAAAGTCAAATGTCATTCCTTTGCTTGTGCGCGAGATTCAACATTCAACCTTCCCTCCCTTTCAGCTGGTCGGTCAATTTCATGCCAATCTCAAACTTGACGGTCAAACTGTGCCGTCATAGAAACGGTGCTAAGAAAGACTCTGTGAACTCGCAGCAGGATGCGGTGGTTCGTTTAGAGACCATCAACAAATTCCAGTCGGTCAAACACAACTATGCAGCCTGACTTACAAATACAAAACGTTTATAACTGGAATTTGTGCTCGTGCATATTTTCCACCAACTGCCAAGACAACACTCCCTTTAATAAGGTTAAATGTTTGTCTAAAAGTAGCTATAACTCTCCTTTAAAACAATCCTTCCACAACAAAAATATCTTCAGTTTGCGAGTTGTTTTCTTTTCACGGTTGAATTGCAGCTGATATCAGTGGATGCAGCAATAAAATCTCATCCGTTATATATTTTAGTTGTTTTATTCAAACACAGAGGGATTGTTTTCTCCCAAACAAACACTGACAATAAATGCTTTTGGGTGCATATTATTTCAAAGTGAGAATTTGAGGATTTGTCAAATATAAAATCCTACCCATAATGACTCCTTGCTTCACTTTAGGTCCATTAGCAGCAATATGTTCAGTCGATTTAGACTGCTAGAGCTTAAGGCAAATGAAAACCCAGAATCAAGTTTCTCACATAATGTAAAAACAAACAAACAGAAATGTATTGTTTATGGCCGTATTATCCGTATTATGATCTACATAATCACAAAGAAGGCTGCTGTTCAGCAGACAGTCACAATGAAATCCTCCAAATGCAGCATATGCCACAAAAGGTCAATGATGTAGAAATGTGCAGAACCCATTGATGGATGAGAGAACAGAAAAAGTGTGCTAGAAAAAAATTACACGACAACGGGAACGGGGGGGAAACGCGTCCTTAACAGGATTGCAAACAAGGACCAACTCAAGCGTTGGAGGGAGATTCACAGAACGGGGACACAGAGATGTTTACGTGACATGGACTCCAACTGCAACACTCTTCATGTCATGAGCTCAAAACCGTCTCACCTGGGTTAAATAAGGACTGGAGTCTGAAGGAAGTGACCTTCACCATGAGATATCACACTGAATCAACTACGCATGCAAATATTAAATGCATAATATGTGAGCATATTATGTGAGCAATTTGAACATATAATTAGGTAAATATGTTACTGGAAAGAATTATCAACAAAATCTAAACACCAACTTCAAAGTAAAAAAAAAAAGGCAAACATGAAAAAATTACAATGAAAATAAGTAGATTCTTTTTTGCGACTCACTTCTTTAATCCTAATTAAAGTGTCCAATTTTTTAACAATCTTTTATCCATGATTTGTCCATGATTCACTGAAGATGTTAGCGTGTAGACCGGTGGAGACAGGAAGTGGTTACAAGAATTATAAAAATAAGAGGCTCTCTATGTGCTCACATCCTGACCACCATTTGTGTTCCCAACCATTTCACCAAAGAGACTCTTTAACCTGTCTTTGCTGTCGCTGTTACTGATGTATAAAAAAACCCTCCAATAAATAAACAAACAGCTCTTAGCCTGGTGGGAGCGCAAGTAAACCCTGGTGGCCCGCCAGGCTCATAAAACACACCCTGAAAAACCGCAAAGAAGCCAAAACACTGAGTTCCTTTAAATCAAAACTAAAAACACACCTATTTTAAGTTGCCTTTGATTAGTAGTAAATGGAACACTGATCAACAGATTTTGATTTTGATAACTAAAGGCACTTTGAGCTGCGCAATGCAAAAAAACCTGAACTTGAATCCAGTTCACATGGTTGGGTGATCGCCAGTGTGTGGCCTGATGTGTGTCGTGTAAAACTGTTCCTCACCAGGGGGAACTCGTGGGAGACACGTCCGTCTGGTGGGAGCTTGGCACCAAAGCCCAGCGCAGGAAACAACTTGTCGCTGTCGTAATCCTGGATGATCTCCCCGATGGCGCGCAGGGCCATGGCGTAGTCATTCAGCTGGTACGGGCTCATGTAATGGAGCGAGGTGGGCTGGGATGGGTTGCCTGCGCCCCAAACACAGCAACACAACAAAACACAGGTCAGCAACATACTGTCATTATGTTTCCTTCCCCTGTGTTTGATTCATATTACATCATGCAGTGCAGATTTAGATTTAAGAACATTTTTTACACTCCCAGCAGAATTGGAGGCAAGACAGATTCAGATGCTGAATGATGTATTTTGTGCGCTGGCGAATTTGTGAAACCTGTGGTAAAATTGCAGATAGAATGGAGCGGCTAATAAATAACAGACGGTACAATTGTTGAGATAAATGAGCATGCCACGGAGTGCAACATATGGAAAATAAGGAGAACTTTGCAGTGATTGTTAGACCTTTTCAATCTTCCATGCTTAGGAGTCGTGTCACCAACAGAATACAGTCAGAGTGTGATTGGTTTTCATGAGACTTAACAACTGACCGAAATAGTTCAAAATAAAAAAGACGAATGTAATTCAGGGGGTTCCAGCATAAGTCCTGGAGATCTACTGTCCCGCAATAGGTTTGGTCGTAGAGTGTGTGGTGCTTTAAAACTGACCATTCATCACATCATTTGAAAAAATAACACTGTCCGCAGAGAATCAGTTTAAGAAAAGTGTTTATTCACCAGAATCTGCTGAATTACATCACTTAGTGATGCTTTAAACATGCCAAACTCATAAGGGCCAGTGTAACGTAAAGCTAAAATCTATGTCAGCCAATCATCATCCTACAAAACAACCACAGTGCTCTGTCGGGAATGAAATATGGTGCCAGGAAGTTTGTTGAGCTACTGTTAGAATATAAAGTTAATGAAACACAAGACAGAGTGGACTGGGAACTCTGTTAAGCAAGTATCTTCATGTTGGACTGCATTGTGCCTCTATTGGAAGAGGGAGCTGGTGGAAAACAGATGAACTCAAATTGTTCTTTCTCCTTTGCAATATATTGGAGCAGCTAGACTTATTAATTAAAAAAAAGAAGAAGAAACAAAAAGCTTCTGAATCAAAATAAAAATGAGCACTATGATAGCAGCTGTGTTTCCTCCACTGTTTGGTCAAGAAGTAAGAACGGTCATATATGTGACATCATTATTTGCTTCTAATGCGCAGACCTCTAAATCTCAGTCTTCCAAAGTCCGCACTCAAGTGCATAAAAGAAGATTTCTTAAATCTTTAATTAGGTCAGTTTTTATTAATCATTTTTAGTGATATTAAATAGAGGTTACGTGTGGATGAAAAGCCAAATTGCTTAAAATTTTATCGGGTTCACCAGATGTCCGGCTACCAGTGGACTAGGCTTCATACAGAAAACTTGAAATATATATAAGAACCCAAACTGAGGCCATCAATGAAGCATCATCTTCCTCCAGATGCTAGAGGTCAAGCAGCACATGGGATGGGAGTAACTGCTCAAGCAGCAGGAGGAAATGCCAAAGAAAAGTGTGACTCAGGTCAGCAATTTCTCTTCTTCGACCCATGTTTAGTCTCCATGGTAACCAAGTGTCGTACAGGCTGATGGTGGTAATCTCCGTTGCATCCAGGATGAGGGTCCCAGCATTCCCTTTTACTCAGTAAGGTCTCATTGGTCTCTCATCTAACAAGAACTATTATTTTTCTTCAAACATGATCTGTATAAAAAAAAATCCTCCCCCCAAAAAAACAACAACTTCTTGATAATGTGCACATCTATTCTCCATCACCGGATTTACCAAATATTGTCTACATTTTTGAGAGCTCACTGGACACAAACAACACATTTGCCATGTGCATGAAGCGACCAGTCCCCTCCTCCATTCCTGGTCTCAAACAGGATTCAGCCCGTTTCCACACCCATGAGTTCAGGTTCCACATTTCATGCTTTTGCAAACTCTGCACGCATTTTGTTTGGGCCACAGCTGAGCTCTATCAACCAGAAAACATGGAGCACAGACATGATAAAAAGCACAAAAAAAGAAGTATATTTTGTTAATTCACAGGCCTTACATTTTAGAATACACAGTTGCATTTGCATACACTGAATAAAAAGACAGGTAATTTTTTTTTCCTCACTGTATGAAGTTAACTCAGATAAAACTTTTTGTGGTTTAGGTCAATTAGAATTACCAAAATTATTTCTATTTGCCAAATGCCTGAAAAAGGAGCCAGAGCATTTTTTAAAAATAATTTATTTTGTGACTTTTAATTTAATTGGTCAATGTCAAGAATAACACTTTTAAAACGTATGACTTGGGTTAAATCTTTTGCGATTTCTTTTGAATTAACCTAAAACAAGAAATGTTTAGTTTAATTTAGTGAAGAAAAATCTTTGTTATTCAGTATATGTGAAATAACTGCATATGTTACATGTAATACTGGGTTTCTTGTTAGCAATTGTTGCCCCCCATCAATTTGGGAAGAACTAAGAGGGTAAGTCCAGACACTCTGAGGTCCATCACTTCTGAGCTAAAATCTTCTTTCTAAAGATCATTCATAGAAAGCTTGAGGCTATCCCCGGCACCAGACTGTGAAATATTCAGAAGACCCCAGCGACTTCAGTTAGCGTGTCGAAGATGAGAGTTCATGACAGGACAATTAGAGGAGGGCCGGACAAGCGTGGCGTCTTTGGAAGGATTCCCGGGAGAAGGCTCCTGGCAACGAGTTGGCGGCTTTACAAAGTTGAAGCAACGACCCCGTCAAAGTCCAGACTCTGAACTTGATTGAAATCCTGTGGCGGGAGCCAAAAGAGAGAGCTGAGCATAAATATACGCCAGCAAACGTCTCCGAACAGAGCGCTGTAAATAAAAGTGTGCCAGAAATCCTCCAGACAGTTATGGAAGTCTGCTAAAGGTCAGACGAAAGACGGTTACTTTCAGCTTCCTGCTGCTTAACATGGTTAAAAAAAATAGCCAATAAATCTTCCTTTCAGTTATGAACAGAGTCGAGACATTACATCCTCTTGTTTCCTTTCTTTGTTCTTTATTTTTTGTGTAAATGTTAAAATGAAGGAATTTTGAAACTGATCCCAGAAAGGAACTGTGACATTGAGGTGATATTAAGCCTTTTTAATCCTAATTTTTCATAAATGATTTATTGTATTATATAGGAGCCAATAAGTAATTATGTACTCTGCTTTTTTTTTCAACCACTACTTCTAGATAACTGCTGGAATATTTTAAAGGAAATAACCAGCGTGTGTAATTAGTCTTTTGTTTTATTCAGGGCAAGAAGCCTTGTGTAAAAACCTTAAAAAAGGGCAGTATTATGTCAAATTGCTTGTTTTAACCTTTATATCAAGTTTTGCTGTGATTCTTTCATGCATGTTTGAGAAATCCTTTCCTCTCCATGGCAACCATTCAACTGTACAAAATGCGTGGGTGGACCTAGCCCCGCCTTTGAGAAGCAGCTCCTCCTCCGAGCTGCAGTTTCCAAGCTTCTGAGTTCCCACCTACCAGAGCAGCACTCCCCCACTCAGCTCCTTCAGACTAGCTAGCAGCAATTAGCAAACACCTGGAGGAACTGAGCATCTGCTGAGTTCATCACAGGAGCTACTCCTCAGTGAAAAACTTAGTTAAAGGGTTAATAGAGGAGCCATGTTCTGATAACTTCCTGAAGGTGGAGTTTCAGAAAGAGCGGGAGTTCTTAAAGAGACAGATGCCCAATTTCAAGAAATGAATCACATTTGATATATGCAGGATTTTTTATATAAACACAAGTCAATACATATACTTGACTACAAAATGACTATGAGGCTGAAAAACACAATATTGCCCCCTCAAACTTTGAAACAATTCTCAGCATATTGTATTCAGTTTTATGTGACACCTCTGGGGGTTAATATTGTGCTTGTGGTAGAAACTGCTCCATACACGTTTTCTTAATGGTCCACATGATCCATCTTTCACCGTGTCCTGCAGGACCCTGAGAATGACCCATTTATGTCCCCAGTGGAGCAGCCGAGAGGCCGTTTTTACCTACTGAGCATTTTCAGATATCTGCAACTCTCTTAAATCGACTTTTCCAAAATGTCTCTCTCTTTTTTTTTTTTTTTTACTTATCTTCAAAATTGTTACATAATATATAACAGTTATAACCATGTTTTACATGCTCCAACTCCACAAAAAAAGTATATAAAACATGTCTCATGATTTGTGGGTGCTATGGCAACTATGTTGCAGCGCATACATCTGTCAGGAATCTGAAATCCAAAAGCTGAAAGTAATTACAGTTATTGAATTTATAATGAGGAATTTCACTGGTTTGATGTGATGCTTTGCCTCCATAAAAATGAGCTGACAGAGAAACACAGCAGGTCCATTTATCCCTGTAACTTGGGGCTGGACAAACCGCAGAGAAGAGTGAATGTAGAGCAGGTTCTGGCACCACTCCACCACATCAGTGTGCAGGATTTAGATTAGGGAGAAGTAAGCTATGTTTCGACTTCGGGTTCCAGAATTTGAAAACTTGGCGCGTTTCAAATGGAAGAACCTGAAGACAATGAGGTCAATATTAGTTAAAAGCCAGACTAAGAATGTTGAAAATGCCCTGCAGAAATATTCCAGTTTTATGGCGGCTGGTGAAAACGTTGAAGGAGGGTTATTACGTAAAATCAACTTTTTCAGCTTCATATTATGTCATAATGTCAATCTTTCATCGAAAACATACTTTGATTCTTTCAACCATCTTTAAGAAATCCTTCAGTCGTTGGTAAAAACGTTGTTAAAGGGTTAATAGAGGAGCCATCTTGTGATGAATTTCTGGAGGTGGAGTTAAAGGTGGAGTTGACGATTCCTTGAAAGATTCGAGTTCCTCGAGTATTAAAATTCCTCGAGGCAAATTATCTGCCTCAAAGCTTCGCTAAATTATGTTTTATTATTTAGCGCGCCATGTTCTGGCCGGGTGACTATTTGTGTTGCGCAACGCTCTCATTTCTGACTATGAATTGCCCCGACGTTAATATCCGTTACTGACCCTGCCGTTATGATTTATTTGATTCAATTTTTATGCAATTATTCGTTTAATTGTCAGAATAATCAAAAGAACACCCAATTACCAGAATAATCGTTTTTAGCCCTAGCAGAGCTTCAGAAAGAGCAGGAGTTTCTTAAAGATACAGTTCCCACTTTCAAGGTGTTAAATTATGAAGTCAAACTTCTTTAAAGTCATGTTTACAGCTGAAGGTAACAGTTACTTGATTTTGTAATAAAACGGTACTATGTAACTGGAAACACAGAATGCTGCCACTTTAAAGCTTATTTTCACAACAAGATCCTTTTCCCTCAGGAAAAAGTATGTAAAAGTAGTGCTACTCATATCTAGGTACAATTGTGAGTCCTCTGCCACCCTCTACATCATGTTACTAACATTTGTGGTATAAAAAAAATGGCAAACAGAAAAAAGGAAACCAATTTTAGATTCTAGCGTAACGTTATTAGTTCATGCTCATGGAAAACCTGGTTGTGGATATTGTTCGGTTTATTCCGAGTGTTCAGCCTCCTCAAAGACAGCGCGGTGGGAGTCTGATTCGATTACAGTACAGAAACTCATCCATTCTTCCTGCTGTTATGTAAGCTCTGAAATTGTTTAACTCTGTATTAATCCGCTAAATCACGTTTTGCCAGAAAGAGTCAATCAATCATCTATGACGAAGTCTTCTGCACAGAACAACTAATTGTGTTTGTCTCTCTTCTTCTTGATGTTCCTCATCTGGCTTCCAGAAGCAGCCCGACAGGCTGGAAATGTAATTTGTAGAAACAAAAAAATAAATAAAATAGAAATGCAAGCACAGGGATTTACTGACGAGGCAAAGTGCTCCGAAGTAAAACTCCAAAGTTTGAAATGACAAACTTCTAAGAGTGAATTTTACACTCTTAATTTTCTTTTTTGCAGCTGAATTAAGTCATTAAGCCAGGCTGACAGACTAGGAACTCCCCTATGACTTCAATTTGCACATATCTGATCTTTTAACTGCCAAACTTTCATGCGTTCGATACACCGAGGAGATGCAATTACAAGAGCGAAGCAGCGAAACACTCACCGTTTGATGCCGTGAAATCAATCGCCACCGTGAAATTAATCTGTGTCCTACAAAAAGAAAATAAATGGCATAAGGAGAAACATGGAACCATCAATCATGCCAGATTACGCCGCAGCGTGTTTTCAAAGCGTGCGGCAGAGAGCAATTAAAGCAGCAGGTTATCGGCAGCTGTCTGTCTTAATGTTGGGGCCCGGAGATAACGCCGCAGCCGGTAATCTGCCCGGCTGAGCCGCCGCAGAGTCGACACTAATAACTGCGAGTGACACAAGATTTAATGATGAGAGCAACGCCTAATCCTGTTCGACTTCGTACCAGTCGGTGGGAACTCACCCGCCTCTGATGTAGTCCAGGAAGGACAGCTCAGTGTCCACCAGGCAGGACAGGAGGGTCACCTGCCAGTCAGAAGAGCACGGGGGTCAGACAGGAAGCAGGAAGCCTCACTTTGTAATCAATCCATCAAGTTCATTTGTGTGACACATTTCAACAACACTGGCTTTCAAAACCATAAAGAAACATTGCAAACACAGCTGTGAACAGCAGTAGCATCTAATGGAGCTTGTCAAGTCAAATATGTTGCTCAATGTTCCAGTTATTAAAGGTCAAAAGTCACTCTGAACAGGTGGGTTTTAGGCTCTATTTAAAGGGACTTTGTTTCAGCTGCTTTTGCAGTTTTCTGGAAGTTTGTTCCAGATTTGTTTGTCTGATCTATATTCGAAGTACTGCTGCACAATCTAATCAATGCAATAAAAGACAAACACTGAAAAAACACAAAAATCTTACCAAGTATTTATCGTCTCGTTTCTAGTGCACTTGAAATAAGATAAAACGAACTTACAAGTGATTTCCCAGCAGGACATAGGAGCTTGTTTTCAGTAAATAATTATTTTACATGGATGAAAAAAATTGATTATCACAACACAATTTCCCCTTGCCATAAGTGAAATAATCTGCCAGTGGGACGAGTACAGAATGACTTAGTAAGATTTGGTGTTTTGGCAGTGTGATCCCTTAGCCTCTACCAACCTTCTTCAGGTAGCAGAAGGCTGTATTTGTAACTGTCTTTATGTGACTCTGAAAGGTCAAGCGTGTAAAACTAATTTTACTATTTCAAAGATGGCTTTTTTAGATTTTGACCTCTCTTCTCTTTCATTTAAACAATAATTAGGATGAATGATCACAAAAGCTCTCCGTTCTGGACTGTCACTGATTTCATTTAGCTGTTTGTCCATATGGTGAGGATAGAAACACTCGCCGTCAACATAGGTGCTGTTGAAAAGCCTGATCAAACAGATGTTTTAGGTAGATATGTGCCTTCACTAATTGCTTTCTCACCACTCCAGTGGATCAAAGTGGAAGCGTGTTTACAAGTCGCGGCAGCCAAAGTGGAGCTCTGTAATGCTTTAGAAATAAAACTAATAAGCGAGAAACAGATACAGGGAGTTTTTCTTTTTAAGATTTGTTTTTCTGGCAAGATAATCAACCTAAAGTATTCCCATCAATTCTTAGTAGTGTTAATACCACACAGCTACTCATTAAGACATTATCAATCTGTCCAGTTGTTTTCAACTGTTTATGCACCAGATTCTCCCCCACCTGCCTCCCTCACTTCCTGTTTAGACGAAATAAAATCCTGGTTTGCATCAAACTTCCTCAAATGAAACAGTGATTAAAACAGTTTCTATACGACCCCTTAACATGTTGAAATAATGTCACAGCTGGCAAGCTAAATAACATAAGCTAAATAACATAATCTCAATGTTTTTCTTAGCAGCAAAATTAGATGAGAGTTTTTGCTCCTCTAATTAACATCATTGCATATTGTTATCAAACTGTAATATTTTCACATGTATTTTGACATACAGTATAGTATTTGTGTTTCAACCCGTTTTCACTCACCGTTCCTGAGTTTTGGTACTTCTTCTTCTTCTTCCCTTTCTTTTTGGGATTTAGCACCTGTGGAGACATAAGCCTGTTTTTAAAGCCTGAGTGAAAATTGTTGAGTCTTAATGACTCTGCGGCAGTCAAAGTTCGAGTGACTCCTGGCCCCTCAAGTTTTAATTAACCCAGACTATTTAGCAAAGCTGAACTAAATGCCTTTTTAATAAGCATTACCATAGACAATCTCTACCCCCACATGAAAAGCAAAGAAATTACTGAATTTACTTTCTCCTTTTTTTCTTCCTTTACAAAGCCTTTTTCCACAGACCTCAGGACGCTGCTCCCAAAAGAGCCCAGATAAAACAGCATCACACAGGGGGAATATATTTGAACAAGCTCACACTTAATATCAGGGTTGACTCTATCTATAGTCAGAGAGAGAGAGAGAGAGAAAAAAGAACTGTGAAAAGTGAAAAAAAAACTGATGGCGTATAACTTGAAGCATTTAGAAAAAAGGCTGCCCTTCTTCCTAGACTTCTGTCTCTATACTAAAATGATGGAAGTTGTTCTTCCTAAGCAGCTTTACTGAGTCTTAGTCTCCAGAGAGTTATGCTTTAGCAGAGCTAATGGAACAGTTAGGTAAACGCTCGAGGACACGAGGAAGGCTGACTTCAGTAATTCAGCAGATTATAACAAGGAAATAAAAAATTTTAAAAAACGGCTTTTCTATTGCCCAGACTCACACTGAAGCGATTCTATTAGGTTATAAAGTAGCTGCATAAAAGTCAGAGCAATTTGTTCGCGTAATTCTGAACGAATGCAGATTTTCAAAAGTCATCCATCCACTGGATTAGTTTTAGTGATATATGATCCAGCCTACAGTAAAAGAGAAAGCAGTGTGTTTCTAACACAAAAACTGTAAAATATGACCAACACCTTGCCAGCTAGCTAGCTAGCTTTCTATCTAGCTAGCAGGTCAGCTTGAAAGCTAGCAAGACAGGTTTCATTTAACAACATATACATTTAAAGATTAAACTAAATTAAAAATACAGTACTAAAACCAAACAAAACCTTAACAATAAACCAGAGGGCGACCAGTGTAGGATGCTTGATGAAGTATGTTTGGATATTTGAATCTTAAAGGAGGGTTAATGTCAGCAGGGCTCCTTCAGATTTATGCTTAGACTGCTAATTAGTGAATAATTGCTGCTATATTCCTTCTTGTCAGCACAAGCAAAACAAAACTTTAAAGTGAGTTGTTTTTTAAACTACCCCTAATTAAACCTTTTTTTTAGTCTGGAAAAAAAGGTGCTGAATAGATTCCCCCGCTCACCGTGAGGCAGTGCATGTGCATTTTTGGCAAACTGAACAAAAGCGAGTCAGATGGAGCGTTTCATTTTATGCTCTTACAAGATAAACAACTAAACAATGTCACATATTGTACAGAAACAATGGATGAAACGGTACGTTAGCATTACATCTTAAAGTGAACAACTACAACCAAGTTTGATTAAAATGCTGACGGAAATTTCATGCTGGACTGGAACTGGCAAGACAAATAGCAATAGAGCTGGCTAGCTGTGTAGCTAGCTAGCAATGGAGCTAGCGAGCAGAGCAGAGTGCAAAGCTTTTATGTAGATAGCTACATAGCTAGATAGCAGCACAGCTAGCTTGCAAGCAAGCCCCTGGGACTAAATGAGTGACTGGCTATTTGCTTTGGATGAACAGGTTTAACTTAGAACTTCAAATAGAAAGAAGCTGTTCCTCTGAATATATTGCGTACATTTGGACTTAGCATTTGTTTGTGGAAGTGACATTAACCAACAGAGGAGATTTATTTATTTATTTTCAGAAAGGGAAGAGCGTTGCTTACATGTACAGAGACACATATTGTTGGCCCTTGCTGTTTTTTGTTTTGTTGTAGTTGTTGACCTTATCCATACAGATACATCTTTCCTATAACCTGATAGCTTGTATCATGCTGGTGATGCAGGGAGAAATTGTGACATAAAATTGGGCTGCTTTTGTTTTTTATTGTGTTATTTTACCTAAAAAACAACAAAGTGTTGATGCAGAAAGCAGAAAAACAATAACGTGATCAAAACCACTATAGGCAAGTCAGAATTTTACAAAAACCAGCGATTGTAATTGGTTATAATATCTCTCGCTGGAAAGAGCGGAGCTGTAACTCTCCTTGATGCTTCAAATGCTCATATGTCCTTGTGGTCAAAGATACTTAGTGAAGGTTTCTTTCCGTAAAAAGCAAAGTTAGAAATGGCCACCAGCTTCATCATTGAGAAACCATCGCTGTCAATCATGCAGTAGGAACTCATCTTTGTAGTGACTAAGAAAATAAAAGTCTGCAGCTGTGGCTTTGTTTGTTTGCATTCAAGATGAAATGTTTGGAAAAAAAAAGAGAAAAAAAAAACATCAGTGAGAACAGTTCAGCCCAACACTGAAAGTTGCTGCTGAGTACAGAGCTTTTATCACTGCACATGTAGCAAGCTTATTGGTGCGTGCAAGTGTTTTATTTATTTATTTATTTATTTTGATAAAGCGTTAGATAAAGTGCTTTCCAGCCCTTTCTTATCTCTAATTGGAATTAGGTTGAGTGTGTGGTCATGTCGAGGGACAGAATGAATTGACAAAAGCCTCTATGTGTGTTTGTGTGTGTGTGGGGAGGGATATGGTTCACAGCTGCAAGGAAAAGTACAGAATTGGACATTTTTAAAAAATATATTTTTTACTCATCAACTTGACTGCCGGGTCAAATTGACCTGATTTGTCTGATTAAAATCAAGACAAATGAGTCATGCAGAGAGTACTTATGTTTTCCCCACTTCTGCTGAGTTTCCACTCAGATTGGGTGGAATTTGTCCACGGGAACAGAAAACGTTCCCGTCAAAAGTTGAAGGAACACCTGCTTTCTCGCAGTTTCCCAGTGAAGTAAAAAGAAAGTGGGCTTGTGTGTGTGCATGTGGTGTGTGTGAGTGAAGAATATCACCTCATAGATGTGAAACTGTGATTGGCTTCTGCACATTTCTCTGTAGCTGGTGCTGAACTCGCCGATGAAGTCATGTCTGTTAAAAACAACAACAAAAAAACAGCAAAAATATGCTCACGTTTCACTCTAAGTTCAATATGTTCATATGGAAGAAGATTAGGGCCACCAAAAAAAAAAAAGTTTGATTTTTTTTTTTCCCCTCAGTATTCTTACATTTGATGTCAGGGGATTAAAGTTAGAATTCTTAAAGTCAAAGTTAGAATTTTGACTTTTTCCCAAAACTTAAACAGTTTGAGAAAAAGTCAAAATACAGAGAAAAAAAGACAAGATGAAAGTCAGAACCAGTGGCACTAATCGTCTTCCGTAGAATATGGGATCATAAAAAGATTAGAGAAGTAATCAGAAGTATCAGTGATAAGCTGTGTGGCCTCTGTCGTCATGGGGCCAGTTGGCAGTTTTTTAATTTCATTGAGGTAATGAAAGGTGTTTAAAATTAGAGTCGGGTATCATTGGGAGCTCAGTGGAACAAACACATCCAGTCAGATACTTTGTGTAGTTTACACTAAAAAGGCAGAATCAGGTCTGAAAAAATCTCTGCTTTGAAGGCATCCAATATACAATTACTGGCACCTCTTATGAAGATTTATAAATAAGTCTTAAAATAAAAGGTTGTTATGGAGACCAGATATCAACGTTTCTTTCAGCTCTCTAACTGCCAGCTTGAAAGATTGATCTTTTTTTACTTGTTTTACGCTCCTGCTCACTGTGTGACAGTAAGATAATACGAGCCAAGATCCACCTTTGTTTGCAACAGCTCCAGTTTATTAATAGTTTTTTGGTCTTAATGTAAATATGGGAGTGAGTAGGGTTAATAAAGAAGTGATGTCGTTCTTTTACATATTTAAAAACGGTGGAGATTTTTAAAGTTTAAACTCTGACTTCTCCACCATGGGGGGAGACCAACAGGAACAAACAGATCTGCACACAAGGCTGGGAAGGGAATTATTATTATAGACGACGGAGAAAACTCAAGGTGACTCAAACGCCGGATAGTTTGGTGGACACGGTTCAATTCTGGAACAGAACTGCAACATTTGTTACATTTTCAGCCGGTGTGGTTCGCATAAACACTCCTCTGTGTCAAACAAACCAAACCCTTTTGAGAAATCCGTTCATGCCTGCGGTGGTACTGTACCAAGAATGTCCATAAAACCTCTGAAGAAGACCCCGAGCGCAACGTCCTTCTTCTCAAAATGTGAACAAAAGTGGAGAGGCGTCCCATTTTGGCAGTTTTAAGGTTCCTCTTTTTTTTTTTTTGTCTTCGGCAAACGCATCAAGTGAACAAACACTCGTCACCAGCAGCTGCATTTCCACAAACCATAAAATTGTACAAATTGAAACTAAAAACAATAAAGTAGCTTAATGGAAAGATGCCAGTTTTTTTAAAAACACATTTACTAACAACTGACTCATGAAAAAACTGAAAGAGAAAACAAATGCTTCAGAAGAAAACTGCAGATAGAACATTAGAAGCTGGTTAACTTCCTGTTGGAGCAGAACAGACGCTAGTATTTAAACTCCGGTGGGAACAAATCCCCAGTCATTATCATAAAAACAGAACTGTTGAAGCATGTCAAAACAAGCAAAAACAACAAAAAAATTAATAAATTTTGCAACTGTGATGTTTCCATTAAATAAGAAACACAATTAAAATCACATATTAATACATTTGTTCACGCAACAAATCTTTAAAACATGGCACGCTGTGACCCTCCTATCACTTCCTGTCATCTTCTTTGTGGTTTCCGTCAGTGGCAGCATCTGGCTGTTGATCATGCGACTCGTGTGAAGTGAATGTAGTGTTTCCACTGCAGTTTTGCGAAATAAATAATTTTGGCACGGACACATAAAAGCACCAAAATGTTTACGGAAAGAGCAGAGATGCAACTTGCCGTATTTCCATCAAGCAAATTTACAGTATGAAATTGTGGATGTAACAGAAATGCAGCCACCGGGAGACGAAGAATGCTGCAGAATTTAAAGCTGCGGTGTTGAGGATTTAGTTTAAGGTCTCTTTCTCTAGATAATTGGTACATATTTTCTACCAATTAAGTTTGTTGGTATTTTTTAAAAAAACCAACCATGATTTAAAAAGCATAAAAGGTGTCATTTTTTTCAGAAATATGGATTCATCTCTATGTGTTTGAAAGTGTAAAACTGACACTAAACACGTGTTTCTTTTTCTCTATAAAACAAGAAGCGGTGGGATGATTCCTCTCAGTGTGATCTGTGATTGTAAGCCCTTCTTAGTTCTTCAATAGATATATTCAGCACAGGTTTTATTGGTGAGAAGGAGCCATTAATGTCGGATGAATTTAATTAAATAATGGCATACCAAAATGTAATAACATATGGGCCATGACATAATAAAATAGACCCTCACCCTCCATCTCTGTCCCAGTCATAAACTTCCACCTTAATGCTCCTGTTGAGAGAAAGAAAAGGTAGAAAACAAGTTCAACACTTAAGATTCATTATCAGCTCAAAGAGCTCACTATTAGTGTGAGGAAAAGTGTATTTTTATGTCACTTTTATTCCTTCATTTGAGGCACTTTAAGTTTCCTAACAGACTAGCTTTTTTTCCCGTAGTACATTAGGAACCCCATTGTTGTGCTTTTCGACTTTTACCTGACGTGTTTACTGAGATTTCATAAGATAATTCATCTCTCTGTCGCCTCGTATCACCTGGATACTTCGGCGGCTCTAGAATTTGGAATCCTAAAGACGCTCCAATTATCTGTAACCAGTTGCCGAGGGCTTGCAGGGCTCCCGCTGTGGGGTGCGTTGTACCTGTCATAGTCTCCGTTGCACAGCGCCCTGACGGGAATTTTGAAAGCCTGCCACACCGGGTCCAGGGTATTCTTCACCACTTCTGTTTTGTGGCAGATGGTGTAGCTGTGAGACATATAGAAGTGTTAAGTTGACAAAAAAACGATAAACATAATAATAGCCCAGCAAAGCATGCAGCTCTTTGCTCTTTGTCAATAACTGTTTTTTTTTTTTTTTTTTTTTTTTTGCCGCATCTAGACTGGCTCTTTGTTACCACACTGTGCTGCTGTTATACCCTGCAGCGGGGCATTTAGGCCGCATCAGTACAAACCCAGCTGCTCTAAAGAGAACGTGTTAAGTGTGAGACGCTCAAGTCGACTTGAATGACAAGCATCTGCGGGGCAGGGGAAGAAAAAAAAAGAAAAGAAAAAAGACCTCCGCACAAAGTTTCGCACTTAATTCCATCTTATCCATCACTCCCCTCTTTGTTTTCTTCTTGTCAACTCTGTCCTGTTTTATCGGCTCATCTACTGCCTCCTCGTGATGAAAGAAGGGGGGGTCGGGGGGGGGGAGAATGTCACATATACATCAACAAGCCTTATGTAACGTCGCAGAGACAAATCACTCTGCATAGGAGCTTTTGGAGCGTGAAGACAGCCGCGCTCGGGCCTCCGTGTATGTTAAAGTCATCTTTACGTGCCGGCTGTGCTTTCTGTTGTTCACATGCGTCACATCGACATGGCTGGATCTCTCCAATCACCAAGACGAGACAAAACAAAAAAGGAAAAAATGCCTTGAAGGACTTACGACCCGTCTTCGTTGCTGCGGTAAAACACGAGGAAAGGATCCGATTTGCCGAAGAAGTCCTTCTTATCCAACTTGTTGCCACAAAACTGAAGCATCACCGACTCCTAAACAGGAGAAACAGAAACACGTGTTACTGAGAACAACGAAAGATGTAAATATCTAGACACTGGTTAAAAAGCTAATATTTTCAAAGGGAACTAAATGAGGGATCCGAAACACAAAACAGTGCACATGGTGACATTAGATCATTGGAATGTGTTGACAATCCATTGTCCAGTGGCTTCACTTCAATATTACAAAACCATGTGATATTATTAAACATTGCATTTTTCTTCATTCCTCTGAGGATCATCTGTTCGTTAAAAACTTTCACCTCTTTTCCGACTTTTGATCTCATCTGAGGACATCTGCTGCAGTCAGACACCATCAAACGTCATGGCAACCAGAGGCCGAGTGAGACTTTTTCATTGTCTGTCACTTCGACCTCCGTGGTCAAATATTCCCACCGCAATTTATTTTAACCTGCCCATTTCTAAAACGATAACGACGTAGTTAATAGTCTGTCATTTTACGTAATATTCAACCCGATCAAGCTTCACAGAAAAGCCACATCATTCCATCATACTTCAAACAGAGGAATATGTGGAACTTTTTCTGCAGTGATAAAAACAACAGACTGTGGTAGTGGTACCTTTGTTTCTTTATGAAACAGTGAATTCTTAAATTTGGAATGCCCTGAAATTAGGAATGACTCGCCTGCTGTGGCCTGAACGCACCGTCTCTCGACTTCCACCCGGCCGGCATGGACCTGAATTCTACGCCTGCTTGTGTGGGATCAAACGTCAAAGGTTTTGGGCTTTTGTCTCCGACAGACGTCTTCTCACGGAAGTTTTGATGTCCATCAGGACATTGTGGCACTGTGCTGCCACAATGTCTACGAAATGATGGTCTGATGGGAATCTTTTTCTTTTTTTGATTGGTTTAGTTTCCTGTACTCTGTAAAGTAAAGTTGAAAATATCTGCATGTTTGCGTCGAGTGATCAGGAGTGTGAAATGCCAGATTTACTGTTTTAAAGGGGAAGTATTATGGACTTTCCCGGCACATAAGCACAATCAAGTCACTATGTTACCTTCAGTTGTCATAAAAATGCTATAAATATCAAATGCAACTTAAAAGACAATTTGCTTTGCAATTTAATGCCATGATATTGGGCCTCTATCTCTTTAAGAAACTTTTTGAAATTCTACCTTCAAGCAGTCATCACAACATCACATCTCTATTAACACTTTTTTTTTTTTATAAAAAAAAAGGTCAATGACAAAAATAATATCTGGCAATAATCAACCAAAATTACATTCCAGTCTTTTGCAATAATGACATTTTTCACATTTAAAGTGTGATGACACATTGTGACAGAATTTACAGGTTAGATTCTTTCTAACCTCGAACCTAAGAAAATCTTTCTTCTTGGGAGAAAGAAGATTGTACCCGATGTTGTTTACGTTTCAAACCAATTTTCTTCACTGACGTCTGCTGTGAAACCGTCGTCCTAGCGACGACTTAGCCGCACCTGATCCGAAGTATTCAGATTCATCCCAACAGAAGCCAAATCCATGAGACGTTGTTTGTGAAAATTGTTTGATAGTCCTGACAGAATCCCACTGTAAGCCAATTACGACTTTCTGGTTTAAACGAGAAAAGAACAAGCCGACTGAGAGAGAGATGAGAACGAGGGCGGAGGGGGAGGGGGGGTGACAGTGGCTTAAAGTCTGACTCTTACCCTGCAGTTGCTCAGCTCCTCTGCTCTAATGATGATGGTGCCACATTTCTTTCCTGGAATTCCACTGGAGAGAACAGATTAAAAAAAAGACCAGAGAAAATAAATATAGTGTGAAAACTGTACGGCTGTCACTGCATGGTGCACAACAACAGCCCCACAAACACAAATACTGCTCCTAAAGATTCTTTTTCAGGTCACCAGGCACATATAAAAGTGTGATTTGTATCACTAAGATGCACACATTAACTCCTCTTAATCATAATTTCAAATGTATATTAATTATAATAACATTTAGAAAATAGTAAAACGATTGTCGACAATATGGACAGTTTTTTTTAAACGTGATCAATTTGGAATGTATTGTGACAATAATAAACCATGATTCTTATCATAACAAATGTATCGCGATAAATGATACAATACCGTTGAAGCCCATCCAGGACGACCCAACTATCAGCAATCAATCATGACCAGTACCAAGACATAAACGGGCCTCAACGTTTTTGAGATATGACATGCAACCTTCAGCACCAGATATTACATTTATATTTAGACAGTCATATTCAATAAATTGGAATATGCGTTCTGATGAGGCTTGTTTGTCAAATTAAAAGTACTTTTTAAAACTAACACCCTAAAGGAAGGAATTAAACAAACTTTTCATCAGTGCTACATTTCTGTGTTGCAATGTTTTTCTATTTAATTGTTCTCATTTTAAATGTCAAAATGAGCAACATGTTTGATTTTGATAATCGCACTTGACAAGTCGCAATGTCTGACCCTGGCTTACACAATCGTTAACTTCATGACACGTTTATGATGTTTTTTCATGATGTGTTGCACTTTGAACTGCCTTGCTGCTGACACTTCCTATGCAGATAAACCTAAAACACAAAAATAATCAATTAAAATAGTGGTCATTTAAGAATGACACATTTCCCGCAGTGGTTGTTCATCAAAATTATAAGTTGCCTTTTTTTTTCCCCAAAAGGTTGAGAACCATTTTCTCTGCTGGTCTGAAGGTAAAATGGCTCATTTGAATGTAAAGGTTACGGATCCAGTGGGAGTGAAGGAGGCTCAACCAGCCGTGTTCAGCCAACAATTACAAACTGATTCTTTGTGAGTTGAAATTTGGGTTTGATGATGAAGTTAAAAATAATAATAAAAAAGTAATAATAAATCATTTTGTTAAGTTAGAAACAAACATCAATGTGTTTTATAGCGATTTCATGTACAAAGTATTGTATTATTATTAAACGGAAGGAAGATTACACCCTTTAAAAATAGTTTTACCCATAAAAACTGTGGCATGCGTTGGCATTCACAACCTTGTTACGACTAATTAAAATTCACTGCTAATTAGTAAGGAATGTTTGTAACATAATGTCAGTAAAAAAATCCTACAGTTTTGTGAAGGCCTCTGGGGTTTGATAAAGGACATTAGTGAACAAACAGCATCACAGAGACAAAGGACAAGTTAAACATCTTGAGAATCGACGTCTGACATCGTCATCCAGAAATGGAAAGTTTAGCAAAACTGCAAACCTGTGACAACGTCACCGAGAATCTCTCTGGAGAAGAGAGACACGTGCTCTTCATGACTTTTTTTTTTTTGCTGTTGTGTAGAGATGAGCAGAGAGAAGATTATAATTCAAATTCAAAAACATTTAATTGATCCCAACGAAAAAATAGATGATTCAATTCAATTGTTCATAGAAAGTCATAATAAGTCTAGTTTATTAGATTTATTATCTAATAGCCACATCGGGGAACAAGTCAAGGTATAGAAGTCAACAGATACCAGATAAAATCAAAACTACACACAAAACAGCTTGTCTGATAGAAACCCAGCAATGTACATTAGCCATTTGACACACAGCTGAGCCTCAGAGGTTGAAATACTTTTGAAAGTGGCTGCAGATCACGTTAGATTACGCTCAGAAACAGGATTTACATTACGGTTTGAAATGACGAGCCTGAAGTTATTTGCCATGCTAAGCTGACACGCTTGAATTAATGAGCTGTTTGCCGAGGTAATTGCCCATGGAGTCTTTCACATGCTCGTCTTTACACTGTTCAACCTGTCTGCAATGCACTTTTTGCTGAAATAATTTGCCAATTAGTCAGGCTGGCCGACTCCTTGAAGACATTTTAACGAGACCGATGTGGGCTAAATTAAAATTAGCCTTATGCCATATTTCAGCGGCCATCATTGTGCTGTGCTTTCAGCGGGCTCAGAAGGTCACCAGGTAGCGATGCTGTTCAACGCGCAGTTTCTACTTCGTGACCCAGGAGGTCAGGCACCTGCTGGTAATCACTGGTTTTAAAAGCTTTCTAGTCTATTTTTTCCCCTTTTATTCACTGTTGTCTGTCAGCAGCAAACGACAGGAAACAGTTGGAGGATGATGTGTTTTTTTTAATAACGTATCGCATGAACAAACTTATTCACGTGATTTCAATCGTGCTTCTTATTTAACAGAATCATCGCAGCTGCAAAATTGTGGGGTTTTTGACAGTAGTGGATTATTGACAAAGTTTGCAGACATTTGTAAAGGAAACGCAGATATTGTCCCAAGACCACACAAATACCACATGACCAAAACCCTCTTCTCCCTCCTCCTCCTCTAACCTCTACATCAGCTAGAAACGAACATCATAGTGATATTTATGGTTTGGATGTTCCAACCAAAACACGAACATCACACATGCACCTCACCATCAAACACAACGAGAGATGTTCGTATCGAGAGACCATCTCCTCAATATTATGGAAGACTGAACAATATGGACCTCTAGATGGCTGAACTGAACCTATGCAATAATTAATACCTTAACTCGTCAAAGCCCGTAGCATCCAACAATGCCCACTCTAATGGATCCCCAGAGAAAAGATGAGGCAAAATTGCTTGAAACGCTGAAACTGAACAAAGCAACTGTTACTTGTTGAACTAAATCTGAGGTTTCTTAAGTGCTACAGAGGAAAACAACATGTTTTCTTCCCAATTCAGAGATAAGTTGCTCACTAGTAATTAAACAGAACAAAGTTACTTGGTCTTAAGATCTTAAATTTTAGTGCAGTGAAAACCACAATCTTTCGTTTTCTCCCGCAACTATTTCCTTTCTTTTCAACATCCCATGTTAATTGGAAACAACAAGTTGCTGTGGGCGTCTTGATTCTATTTCCATACAACTGGTCAATGTGTTTGTGTGCATGCAGCACTTCTGACTGCGCGGCACGTGTTTCGCTGCTATGATACCGAGTTGAAACAAATGTTTTGGGTTTTATTTAGTAGGTTCTGACTCCCACGTACGAGTTCAGAGTTCAGTCAAGATCTAACAGATAAATAAGAAATTAGCTCTACATAAAATACAATCATAATCTTGAGATCCTACATAAATCAGCAGAGGACAGAACTCGCCCCTCCACCGGGTGAAGTGTTATTTATTTTAAATGAGTTTTTTTTATAGAGCAGTAACAGTGACAGCAAAGGCAAACTAAGACATGGGAGGCTGACCACTAAAACTAGACCAGATGTTTGCCACAAACCAAATGAGGAAGAGCAGAGATCATTTCATTTGGCTAAGATCTGACCAATAAAGACTCAGAAAGAAAACAATGACAGAGAAACTGCAGGAAAATTGGAGCGAAGCTTTGCAAATCCCCGTCCATCCCCTCAATCACCTGAGACTCACCACACTCCCTTCGAGTCATTGAAATTAATTTGCTGCACGACATGGAGAGATTGCTCGGTAAGTGGGCGAATGGAAAAAAAAAAAAAGGTCCGGAGAGCCAATAGAAGAGGATGGACCGAGTGGGGAAGGCAGAGGGAGACGGGAGTTAAGTCCCTGGAAAGATGGAGAGCTGAACGAGAGGCCGGCACCTGAACACAGAGTGGGCCTGAAAGCACCAGCATGCGCTCCCCCAAGTATCACTGAAATGGATTTTTAGATTGGGGAAGCTCTTAGGTGCTCATAATGCGGACGCGTATCGGCGTGGAAAGCGAATGTCACCCTCCTGTGTCTTAGTCCACATCTATTTTTAAACACTACGATGCTTCCCAACTGCATCTGAAAACAGAAGCCGATAACTTAGTGATTTCCTGTCCTCACAGAACGCATGTGTTGTCACATTGAGAGCCAATCATGTTCCATTAGGAACAGAGTCGCTCTCTTTGTTTTTGTAATTCTTGTGGGGGGATAAAAGACTCGAGAGAACACAAAGTGAAAGAGTGCAGCCCGCTCTTTTAGAACATGGATCTTTCCGATTCTACAAATAAGTCAACAAATAAGACAGAAGCATTGTTTCTTTTATTTATAATGAGCTTCATCCATCATTTGTTTCAGTCCAGGCAAACTTACCCCCCTCTCATTATCTATATTTCTAAAAATCGGAGGCAACGCCGTGGCGCAGAGGTAGAGCGTGTTCTTCATTCTGTTCTTGTTGCTGTTTGGTTGAAATATGCTCTGAAAATGACTTTATGAACATAAATGTGATGGAAGGTTATCGTCTTCTCTGTTTTATTTGTTGCTTTCTGCATGATGTTTTTCACTCAAGGGAAAAAAAAAACTAAACTAAATGTGAATTGCTCGGACCCACATGTACAATCAGGCGTTCGTAACAATAAGAGATGATCTAAAATTATCTTAACGAAAAAAGACTAAAAATAGAACATATACGTGTGTACAGACTGGCGCGCCTAGCGCCCCAGAAAGACGCACAGATCAGAAATACATTGAATGACTGCAGGCAGAGGTTACATAACTCTGAAATGAAAACACACTCTTACATCACATTCCTTCTGCATCATTCTTCAGCAAGCCCATTGAGTTGCAAGCACTCATTGATTCGGCCTTCAACACACACATGCACACGCACACCCACACGCACGCACTCACACACACACACACACACACACACACACACACACACACACACACACACACCCCCCCACACACACACACACACACACACACCACCCCCCCCACACACACACACACACACACACACACACACACAGGGACATGTAATAGTAATGGATGAAGATGACAGTGGAATCGCGTCCTTCTTTCCGTTGTTCCGTCACACAGTGGACACCAACCAGCGATGAAAGGCGCGGGACGACACCAGCTGCATTTCCACTGACCATAGAATTTCACAATTTGACATTTTGGAAATAAGTTTGCTTACTGAAAACAAGTAAATAAAAACAAGTTTTTCGCTAAAGCATCTTGGCACTGGAATGAGGTGGTTCATTTCTGACCGCATTGAAATTGATTTATTTCTTAAAACTGCAAAGGGAATACTTTATTCGCATTGCACGAGTCACATGATCGACAACCGGATGTTACTACTGGCGGAAACCATGAAGAAGATGACAGGAAGTAGTAGACGCAGCGTGTTTTGTAATGACGTCTTGCGTGAACAAATTTTTTCAAGTGTGGTTGCAATTGCATTTCTTATTGAGTGGAAACAGCACAATTGTGAGATTGTGTTTTTTTGACATTAGCAGAACACAGACAAAGTTTGAACGCATCCACTGATAGGTGATCGGTTACATTCAACCTCAGGAAGAATGCAATTAGAAACTATGAACCAAATCTTGGATTTAAACTTTGTCAATAAGTGTACACTACATGTACATCATTTACCAGACTTTAGAAAATGAAGTTTTAGATCTTCAGTTTTATCTTTTCAGACACTAACAAGCAGTTGGGAGGTTTATCCTCTGCATTTACAGTTCTGTTGTTTTTCCTATTTTGAAGTTTGTCTAAGAAGGGAGTCTTTCCAGAATGAGTCGTTACAATCAAGTATTCAGGCATCGGAATGTTGCCTGAATTGATTCTAAGTGAATTTCTTCAACACTTTAGAATAAATTCTTCATAATTAAGAAAATAACATCCTACTCACATTGAATAATCAGACCTCCACTACGTTTTCAATCAACTTTGCCAAACTATTGGAAAGAACACAAATGAAACCAAAGATGTTATGGTGAGAAGGCTAAAAGTGGAGTCCAAATAGAGTTAAGTTGTTAAATCAACAAACTGAATTTATGAACTGAAATTATTTCTGATTGCAAATCAGAATAGAAATGTCAGAATTACAATAGCAAATCAATACTGATGTTGATTTTAATCCAGAAATAGAAATTAGCTGTTGAGTGTAATGTTATGGTTATTGCTAAGGACAAACTGAGGTATATTAACACGTTTATAAAATGTGTTAATATACAGTTCTTCTTTCTTATTATGATAATTAAGATAACAAGGGTCATATTGAACAGAGGGAAACACTGAAAAAGTGACATCTGGCCCACCAACAAAGCATATGGCTTGATGACACAATGTGCTGTGTGTCATGTGACCCATTTCCTTCATGTACAGTGACAGACATTCGACAGCTTAATGCGAGCATTACAAGTATGTTGATGTTTAAACTATAAAATCAAACCTCACTAGAACGTGTTTACGTCACATCTAAATTTGTCACATCAAGTTAGGGCAATTTGAAGAAATGGTCACCTTGGTGGTAGAAGAATATTTTACTCTTTTTACATTTTATATCAGGACAAGAAAAACATATTTTGTATGGAAAAGATGACATTTTATGCTTGGGACAGAAAATCTGTGTATTTATATATTCATACCTCAAGGAAACAAAAACTACTTAGAAAAGTACATTTACATTTGAAAATAATATGTACTTTTATATATATATATATATATATATATATATATATATATATATATTATATATATATATATATATATAATATATATATATATATATATATATATATATATATATATATATATATATATATATATATATATATATATATATATATATATATATATAATATATATATATATATATATATATATATATATAATATATATTATATATATATATATATATAAAATATTATATATATATATATATATATATATATATATATATATATATATATATATATATATATATATATATATATAATATAAATCAGGCCCTAAACACCAGAGCAATAGAGGCCCAGATCTACCACACCAGACAAGACCCAAGGTGTAGGTTGTGCAAGGAGGCCCCTGAGATAGTCCAGCACATAACAGCAGGGTGCAAGATACTGGCAGGGAAAGCGTACATGGAGCGACATAACCAAGTGGCAGGCATAGTGTACAGAAACATCTGTGCAGAATATGGACTGGAAACCCCGAGATCAAAGTGGGAAACACCCCCAAAGGTGGTGGAGAACGCCAGAGCTAAGATCCTGTGGACTTCCAGATCCAGACAGACAAAATGGTAATGGCGAACCAACCAGACATTGTCGTAGTGGATAAACATCAGAGGAAAGCCGTTGTGGTAGATGTAGCAATACCAAGTGATTGCAACATCAGGAAAAAGGAGCACGAGAAACTGGAGAAATACCAGGGCCTCAGGGAAGAACTGGAGAGGGCCTGGAAGGTGAAGACCACAGTGGTGCCTGTGGTCATCGGGGCCCTCGGCAGTAACCCCCAAACTGGAGCAGTGGCTACAACAGATCCCAGGAACAACATCAGACATCTCAGTCCAGAAATGTGCAGTCCTTGCCACAGCCAAGATACTGCAGGACCCTCAAGCTCCCAGGCCTCTGGTAGAGGACCCGAGCTCAGAGGATAAGAACCACCCGCGGTGGGTGAGAAGGGAATTTATATATATATATATATATATATATATATATATATATATATATATATATATATATATATATATATATATATAGCTTTTTTTACATTTTATTTCACAATTACAATAAAGAAATTTTGATTCTGATCAGTAATAAGCTGCTATTTAAGTAATTTCTAATCCAAATTTACAAAATGGGGGGGCAATAATAGTTTCTATACAAAAAACAATAATATATATTTTTTCAAAGGGGGACTTTTTCAAATTCTATTAACTACATGCATTGTCTGAATTTTGTAGGTCTATCTAATGGGATGAAGGGATTTTCTCTTTTTCTCTATTTATGAAACATTTCCAAAGCAGACTGTTAAATATTTTAGACTTTGAGTACTTTACGTCTACATTTCCTTCAGATTTTGTTTGTTTTGCCGTAGCAGCTGGATGCAACAAAGTGGCACGATGTCAATCTGTGTCAGTCTCAGGTGAAGAGACACACAGCTGATTTTTGGATTTACTCTGTTGTGGCATGAGAGAAGCAGAGGTTCTCTGAACATTAGTCATTCAGCGCTTGCTCGTCTCACACTGAGCAGTCAGTGTGAAATCTGTCATATACCGGCTTGCAGGGCTAATCACAACTTTGTTAATCAGCAATCAGGAAGGAAATCAGACATTTTAAAGACATCTCTGGCAACCCTTTGAGGTTTCAGCCGAGATCCTCGGCACTCACTCCACTCTGGGAAATGTTTCTTTAAACAACAGGCAGTTAGCCGTCTAAAGATTTTCACAGTCTCTGTCTTTGAGTCCAATTCATTATGAAAAGAAAATCTGCTGGTTTTCAATTCATAAGCATTTTTATCAATTAATCCACTTTTGAGGGTTTTGGAGATCAAACAGAATTTGAAAATCTGTTTCCATAGTTCAAAGCGATGTCAGCACGAAACAGCTGGTCGCGTCGGATCTCAACTTTATCGGAGCTTTTATTGTCATTAAACCAACTTTTTTCTCTTAACTTCAAAATGTTTCTTCAGGCAAATTTGCATCTTCATTCCATGTCATTTTGATAATACAGACCTGTTCTCTGTCGTGCAACTCAATGAAGGGATGACTAAAATAAAATCTACTTTTTAAAAAATATTGTAATTTCTTTTATTTGAAAAGAAAGCGAGAAAAAACGAAATCTACTAAAATTGGAAATGTGGTATGAAAAAAAAATCGGACATTGTAATTTTAAGCCGTATCGCCGAGTTATAATGCAAAGCCAACAGAATAGAAATTGTAAAGTATGCCAGTCTTTGCAAATATGACCTACATTTAAGATGGCAGAAACCATTTTGTATATTATTAGTTGCTTGATGCTACTTACATCAGTGGTTTTTCCAGGCGGCTTCCCAGGGAGCCGACGATTTCACCCAACGTACAGAAAGCCTGGCCCAAGAAGTCCTGCATGTGGGGAAAGCATGAGAAGCATTAACAATGACACTGCTCATATTTACCATTCATTTTTCATATGTAAATGTATCGACATCGATAAGTGTGTGCAGAAGAACCCTGAAGCAACGATCCAGAAAAAGTTTCTTATAAAAAATGGATGCCGTCCTCGTCTCTGAATCATTCATACAGACAGTCAACGCTCAATAAGCGCCTGAAAATAATGCAGTTCGCAAACACTGCGATGACTGTTTACATCTTCATCATCTGGCCAAAGCATAAAGGGATGCTCTCCACTTTTAGACGTATTATTTTAAACCGGAAAGAAGAAGAAGAAAAAGTTATTGGCTCAGTTTTGGTGCTTCCATGAAAATCTTGCTTGTGCTTGAAGCAGATTGATGGTGCGTCTCCCACACTGGAGAGATGAGGCTCGCCGTCACTGGAGGCAACTTCCATCCTGATTAGATTCTGAACCCAGCGCCGATCCCATATCTCCACTATTAGGCCCAGAACTCAGTCAGGCAGTTGACATTGTTGTAGTCTGTTGAAGTATTGGTAAATTATTTGATAACTGAAGAGCTATTTATGAAATCAATCAAACTTCAATGTGCTGCTTGTCCCAATGACCACCACATTGTTATGTGTCATGCGTTTTCATGACAAATGTGTGCAAAATGTTGTCTAAATTCTAATGTCGGACAAATAAAATCTCTCAAGAAACGCAGGTGAAATCACACGTGAATACGTTTGTTCACGCGATAAATTGTTGAGAAACACGCTGCGCTGTCATCCTTCAACTACTTCCTGTTGTATTCTTCTTCACGGTTTACACCAGCAACAATCTGAGATGATTACTGAATATATAGATAGATAGATAGATAGATAGATAGATAGATAGATAGATAGATAGATAGATAGATAGATAGATAGATAGATAGATAGATAGATAGATAGATAGATAGATAGATAGATAGATAGATATAGATAGATAGATAGATAGATAGATAGATAGATAGATAGATAGATAGATAGATAGATATAGATAGATAGATAGATAGATAGATAGATAGATAGATAGATAGATAGATAGATAAGATAGATAGATAGATAGATAGATAGATAGATAGATAGATAGATAGATAGATAGATAGATAGATAGATAGATAGATAGATAGATAGATATAGATAGATAGATAGATAGATAGATAGATAGATAGATAGATAGATAGATAGATAGATAGATAGATAGATAGATAGATAGATAGATAGATAGATAGATAGATAGATAGATAGATAGATAGATAGATAGATAGATAGATAGATAGATAGATAGATAGATAGATAGATAGATAGATAGATAGATAGATAGATAGATAGATAGATAGATAGATAGATAGATAGATAGATAGATAGATAGATAGATAGATAGATACTGTATGTATATATTGACTCACCAAACCAAACATGTTTGGTTTGGTGAGTCAATTCAAGCTGAGGCCTTTAGACTCAGAATTTGGAGTGAAAAACAACAAACAAATATGAAAGCATGTGGAAGAATGCTGCAGGCTGGTGGTGATGGTGTAATGTTGGGTGTAATACATACATATACATACAGGTACATTTTATTTTTATTCATTTTTCGGCAGACCTTTAGACAAAAGCGGTGCAACCCAGGTGTACCTATTAAAGCGGCCAGGGAGAGTAAATGCAGACTTGAAGGAACTGGTGATTGATGTTTGCAAGAATTTTAAAAAATCTATTGTTTTGATGCATTTCAGCGGCTGTGCTGTGACTCCTGCTCCGTTGATGAGGAGCTAGAAAAGGCCAGTGCTGCACAACGCAGAACATGAGAAAGTATTAGCAGAAGAAAGGAAACAGTCATGTTTAATTGAGATTTTTCTGGTATATTTTGGCCTTTAACACCTAAACCAACCGAACCAGAGACCAGTGAACTACTTAGCCGCTTTAGGGTGCTGACAAGAAAGGAGACAGTTTAGAAAAGACGAGCAGCAAGAAGAGCAAAGCACTAGAAGGAGTGTGTGTAAGTCTGTTTACTACAGACCCTGAACTCTGATACCGCAGCCTCCATTACCAGATTGTGCATGCATGTGGTGTGTGCGCATGTGTGTGTGTGTGTGAATGTGTGTAAAAGTCCTTGACAAATGAGCCATGTTGAGTCCAGCGGGCAGAAAGCAGCTCCAAACATCTTTGCTGGTGCTGAGTGCAAAAACGGAGATGGCAAAAACACTCTGGCCTTTCCTCACAGAGTGTGCTGCAAGCCAACGAGAAGCTGCAGCCAATCGGACGCAGAGCCTCGCAACGTCCAGGACTAGAGGTTGAGGCAACTTACATTAACTGGAATGATGGTGGCTGTAAAAAAAATAAAATAAAATAAAATAAAAAGGCTCTACAGCTTCTACAGCTCATCAAGCTCCAAACTTAAATCACCCAGAGAACAAGTATTAGTTCTTACAAACACAGTGAAACAATCCATGGCCCTCTGTCTGAACCTAACAAGGAGTTTTACGTCACTTCACCCAAAAGAAAAGACAAATGAAAAGTGAAAACTTAAAGGGGCAGAATTATGTGTTTTCCAGCCATATAGTGTCATTTTATAACACAACCAAATAACTGTTATCTTCAATTGCTATAAAAATGCTTTACATATCATAGCTTATCACTTAAAAGAAATTTGATTGATTATAATTTAAAGCCTTGATATTGGGCCTATGTCGCTTTAAAAACACCTGCTCTTTCTGAAACTCCGCCTTCAGGAAGGCAATCCAATTTGCCTAGCCAATGGAAACGCAGCTAGTCTTGACATGGGGCATATGGGCACTTGCCCAGGGTTACACTACAAGAGTTGGAGCATAAGTATCTATTTTTTTTAAAACAATGTATTTACCCATCTTGTGTGTCTCCATAACATTTATAGCCTCTTCAACCACGGCTCGGCGTGGACCAGTGGGGAGAATTCAAGTTGCAATCTGAAGCTTGTGAGTTTATTTCCACCTTCCTCCTGCCACGTGTCAACGTGCCCCTGGGCAACACACTTCACCACAAGTTGCCTATTGATCTGTGTATCAGGGTATGAATGTGTGCATCTGGGAGCACAACTGGGTCAATGTGGCTCTGGTGTAAAGTGCTTTGAGTAACTAGAAAGGCACTAAATACTGTAAATTCAGTCTATTTACTTTCACATGTCTACAGAAGATACAGATGGAGATGTAGAAGACACTTTCCAGTCATCTTGTAGCTCATGTCTGTGCTGCAGTTGAGCATTTTTTGTACTTAAAACTTAGATGTTTTACTTTCATTCCAACTGGGAAAGCAAACTGGGTGATAGTTTAGTAAATGATTGGTCGCCTCCTCCAGGTCTCTATTTTTAGACTTTTATGGTATTATAAGGAAATATGTAGCAAACTGAAAATGTGTTGCATGTCTTAGACAAAGTTTGAATAAATTGTGATGCAAAAAACCTAATCAGTTTATTCAGAAAGAAAACAGAAGAGGATAATTACAAAGACATTGGAGCTTACAGTAAGTTTTATTAGTATGTGTTAGAGTTTATTATATCTGGAGATATCTTTTACTGACGAAAAATATCAGACTGGTATCCTCACAAAATGCGGTTTCATATGTTTTAGGCCATTTAATTCATGTGGTAAGACTTTATTTGATGGGTCGTGAATAACACTGTCATGACATGGTCATAAACATGAGTAAGACTTCATGAATATTTATGACTGTTGTCATAAAGTGTCATTCGGTAAATCATAAACTGTTAATAGAAAGTTGACATTATTCAAAATGTCGTTGTTATGACAACTTGATGTTAACTAAAAATTTATGGTCTGACATACACGTGTTATAAAAGTATTGCTGATTAAACGTCAAAAATGATCTAGCTTTATGTTATTAAAGCTAAAGTTTAATCAGTTATACATTTATAACAAATTTATGGCAAACCATAATTGCTTGGTTAATTGTCAAGTTGTCATAATAAAGACATTTTGAATAATGTCAACTTTGCATCGCACAACAACAAAAATCACAACACAAAGAACAAAGCCACTATGAGAGAACAAAAAGCCAGAATTCGACAACAAATGTCGAGTTCTGGCACAAACAGAAACAAAAAGCACAAACAAAAGCCACAGAGGTCATGCTAACCTCGCTAGCATAATATACATTGAAGCATAATTTCTGTTTTAGCATGAAGCCATAGTGGCGTTTGCATCTTGCTGACCCTTCAGGGCCACCGCAATCTTTGGCTGGCCTGAAGAGCAATCTCTGAAAAACCACTTCCTTTCTTATTTCAAAATAAGAGTCTCAAACATGCCTGCAGTCATTTCAAGAGAAGTCGCACAATGTGGTGAAGGCCAATACTAGAAATGCAACACTCCTAAACCCTGATGGATGTAGCTTAAGATTTGATTAAAAGACAGTTCTGTAATTCAAGAAACATCAGAACTCAGAGCTGCTAATGAGTCTGTACTAAGAAAATAGCAGCCTGTCGTCTGTTATGTTCTGTTTGCCACGATCATTTTACTTGTGAATGTAGCAATTATTATTATTATTAAGAAACAAGACTTTAGTAGAACAGATGTGCAGATGAGTAGTATTCATATTTCACACTTCAGTACATCAATTGATCAAAAAATTTTAATAAATTAAAACATGGAGATGAGATCAGATTTATAAACTGTGGTCTATGTGAGCATGGAAAAAAGGAAGACAACAGATGGCCGTCTTAGCTGCATTAGCTGCAACCGTGCAAACGGCACACAAAGACAGTCTCCTATTATTGTAAGCACACTGCCAACAAAAAATAAAAAAATAAACCCAAGCACTGGGACCTGGGCTCCTTGGATGCCAGCAGCGACTGCTTCAGCCAGTGACACAACATTTGGCATCTTTTGAGAAAGCCGGAGGGATTTTAGATTTCGCAGGCGTAGCTCCAGCAAAGAGGGACTGGTGAATTATTGGAGCTAGGTTTATGTGACTGCATACTAAACAATGTGTTAGGTGTGTTCAGAAGCGCATTTGTAAGAGGAGCGACAATATTGATCAAGAGGCTGAAAAAGGGCTTTTAAGGCAATCTATGAGCTGTTTTCTGAAGTGAAAACATCTCTGTTGACTGCCTGCTCTTTGTTACTTCTTAAAGGAGGCACCATTATGTGTTTTCTGGTCACATAGTGCCATTTTATAGCACAATCCACAAACTATGTTCACTTCAGTTGTTAGAAAAATATTATCTACATTAAAAATCTGACTTAAATGAAATTTTACTTTGTAATTAGCACCTTGAGTTTGGGCCTCTGTCTCTTCAGAAAAAGACAAAGCTCCTGTTCTTTCTGAAGGTCCAGCTTCAGGAAGTCGTCACAACATGGCTTCTCTATTCACCTTTTAACAACCAACGCTCTACTGAGAAGCAGCTCATATAATGAGCTCAGCTGATGCACCGTTCAACCGAGCATTTGCTAATTGCTGCTGGCTAGTCTGAAGGAACTGAGTGGGGGAGTAGCAGGACAGAGCTGCTCTGTGAGGCGGAAGGTCAGAAACTGCAGATGTCCAGAAACACTAACTGTTTTGGGATGGCTGAATGTTTTACTATTGTTGTTTTAAAGTATTTTGCGTCATCAGTGTGTCGTGTTTCTGTCCTTTTAACTTTCTGTAAAAACCTTTTTTTATGGTACTGATTACGAAAGGTGCCACAAAATGAAAGTCGCCTCACTGCACCTAACAAGCCTCTGCAGAAAAACCCCATTAGGTGACTTCTGAAGGCAGATGATTGAACTGGTATTTTGAATAGAAGGCTGAATACAAATGCACAGAACATGTTTTATGATTTTCATTCGCAGAACGCTTTTTCATAACCTCACGTACCTTCCAATCAACTTTACAGTGATGCACAGCTTTGTGTCGGTCTATCTCATTAAAAGACTGCAGTCTGTAACTGAGAAGGGACACAGAGAATGTTGCACCTTAGCAGGGCATTGTCGGTGCTCCGTGATTAGAGTTAACTTTTTCATGAGCATATGTGAATATCATTGCATACCAATTTTAGAAATGTAACAGAATTCACCAGACAGTGGTAAATTAATTATTAAAAAAACTCAACGTCTCATATCTCCACCATTCTGAAGCAAACCCCCTTCGTTGCACTTCTCCCCCTACGGCGATTTTCACGCAAGTTACGCGCGGCATACGATGGGGAAGCGCCGGGTCCATCTGCTTTGGTGGGAGGATGAAGGCATCCTCAAAGGTAGCTGACACTGGAAATACTGTACTTGTGTGCATTTCTATCATGCCCCTCCTTCTTTCGGTTATTTATAGCCGTGTGACAGTGGATGGACTCTGCTTAGACAATGGAGCCACCGCCGAGTGCCAGATCTTCAATCCCACACATCCACAGTAACGACAGGGTGCAGCCAAGCGTCCCCGGCCTTCTTGCTTTGAGTGAGCTTCTGCGCTCGCACCGCTCGGAGCGCACAGTGGAAGCCGGAGGGCACGCCGGGATACTGGGCTGAGGAAAACACTCCGCCAGCAGTTGGCAGGGAGCGTGAAGATGAGGGGAGGGGAAAGGAAGGAGGATTAGAACAGAGGTGGAGCAGGAAACTAGAGCAGCAGACTGCTAAAAGTTGTGTCCGGAAGTGACAGTAAAGGATGGAACTACAGGTTTAATAGACTTAAACTTGATTTGTTGTTGCACAAACACATGACAATGAATCTGGCAACAAAATGCCATTGGAGAAAACAGGAGAAAATGCTAAAAAGTGTGAAATTGTGCTAAATTCCTTCAGTCTTGAAAAGTCGCTGCGATCCTCTCGGCGAGAGATTTGGTTTCAAATCATGCTGCCATTGTACAGCAACAAAGAAATATGGCCCTGTTGTGTCAAAACGAATACTTGAATGATTACTGAGCCGGCGAAGGAGAAACTCACGTGTTTAGAGAGGTTGTCACTCTTGCAGTCCAAGTCGTACCTGCGAAGCAGAGGAAGGAGAGAACACATGAGGAGAGAGGCTGCAGGAGGAAGATCTCAGCTGTGGATCGCGACAGATCAGCCAACCAAAACACAAATTAGCGAACACAGGCTTTAATTGCTCACCACCTTGCATAAATGCAGGGCACGTCCTCACTTATCGCTGGAGGAGCTCTGCGAAGGCGGCAATGAAAGCTTTTCGGAGCCGGGCTCATTTAGGAGGGTTGCTATGTGTGGCAGCTTATTAACAAAGAAGGATGGAGCCAGCGCTGCCCCCCCGCCCCACACGCACACACCCAACACCGCCTGCCAAACATCCCGCTGTGCATTAACGCAGTGGGTGAACTTCATGATAAGCAGAAGATCATGTGGCTCCTCACACCCACTACCCAGCGTCCTTATGGAGACGCTTGATATGCATAAACACATTCACACCACTCACAGCTGTTTGGATCCAGGTGATGATAAACGCCTTTTGTGTTATATTTGCCGTTGTCATAACAACTGAACTAACAGGTGCCGATAGGAAGACGAGTGACGGCGGTTCTGGTTGGAGGAGGTATAAAGCCACTCACTGCTGCGACCTGTTTTTATGCACAGATTAATCACTGCATCGTCAGCGGGAAAACGAAACGGTTCTGGAAGTTGTTGGAAAGTAACACCGTCATGTCGTTTTGATCGTTTTGATCGTTTTTACGTTACGAGTCGAATGTGTTCAGCTGTATTGTGCCTTTCTGTGAACATGTTGGTGTACAGATAAAAAGAAATACAAATGCATTGCATATCGTTCACGCAGCAGCAGATGAGGTAACAAATGGGGGTTGTTCTAAGACTTGAGTGTGTCACATAAGTCGTACCTTTGTATTAAATGACCTAAAACTATTTCTTACAGGATTAAGTCCATTGTATTGAATGACAGAGAAAATAGCATATTTTGAAGAAAGATCCGACATGGTGCTTTTTGCTAATGTTTCATAAATCAGATCAGATTCCAGGAGGATTAGTGAAGCACAGATTTGTTTCATCACTTCTACCTGCTCTATTCTTTTTAAATCAGCATCTGATTTAAAAAATGCTGCAATCACAATCTTTAATATGTTTTGTGGAGATTTTAGCATCATGGCTGCCGGCCCAAGCCTGAAGCTGAATTTGATTTTTAGGCCCAATATATCTGCTATTAAAGGGGATTGTTGCAAATCAACAGACAATTACATCAGTGCACAGCTGCTATAAACACATTGCATCTCTGACTAGTGCTGTTTATCTTATATCCTACATGCATATCATCTAGTGGTGGCAATAGCAACAAAAAAACTAATGAGTTCTGAACTTAAGATGGAATACATAAACACATTCATGACGCCCTTTGATTAAACTAATTTATGTTCGGTGTAATTCCAGTACCAACAATTTAACTTTATACCAGGTGAGTCTCTCTCACCTGAGAGTGTGAACCTGTACTGGTGCGGTTCTTCAAATAATTTAAACAGTTTCATAACTGTTCAAATTATTAGAAACGGGTCGTAAAAAACAGTCTGTGTGCTGCACTCAGGAGACAGATTCATTTAATGAATCAGAGAGTGGTATTAGCTGGTCATCTTTCAGCTAACATTACCTGCCACATCTTTACTCAACTCAGTTGGTTAGTTTGGGGGAAAAACTGTGTAAAGTTCTTTGTGTTTTGCTGGTTTGCTGCCATGAATCTAACACACCCGAGTAGCTCTGCACAGCAGCAGCAGGTCTCTTTCCGAGTGTCTTAGCACTCGTGTTGCGTTTAAAGGCGGCTCGGAAAAACACATTATGACTTGTTATCAGCCATAACTTGTAAACAGTTTCAACTGCTGAAAAAGTGACAAGAGGCACAGATAAGGGAGGTGCAGAAGCCTCCACTGTCAAATCGATGTATTGGAACAACAGAAGGTTTGTTGTTTTTACCTTAAAATCAACATATTATTAAACATGGCTTCATGAAAGAGAACACTCTAAGACTGATTTAGGAGTACAGAGTACAGCTGATGCCACAACAACAGAGCATGAGACTTCCAGCTGCTTCCCTTCACTGCTATTCTTTTTTTACACAAGTGGTACACAACTAATTACAGACATTTTGGAGGCCAAGAAAATTTGATTTATCAAGATTCAAACACATAGAAAATTCTACCAGCACCATCTGCATGGACCCATTTATTAAAAATTATTTTTTTCTTTAGGGTGCGCCTGAAGAAAAACTTGGAGAAGCATAAGACCAGAGAAATGTCTGAGAAATATTCTAAAGTGCGTCACAATGCAGCTGTTTCCCTTTATTATTATTTTTTTTACCAAGAATGGATCATATTTCAAAAACCTTATCCCCATGAATACTTCACAAATATGACAGAAAACAACTCCCAGTAAACATAACACCATTTCCCTTTAACTAGTCTCTCGTTCAAGCAATTCTTGAGTCTTTTTGATGACTTTCAAAATGCTTGTGACATCAGTGACACAGCCTTTGCTAAATTATGTCATTTTTCTTACTTTTTATTTTTGTTTTCAGCCGTTTTGAGTTGTCTGGCCTCACTGTTTGCACCTGTTTCTTGTTCCCCAGATAGAGCTATACATATTCATGCAGTCTGTGCTATATGTCATCCCATCTGCTAAGATCAGCTCTTTTTTTTTTCTCCAGTTGGATTCTCTCTAATTCCTTGCATTGCAACTTTGCTTTACTCTATTTTTTTTAAATCAGTTTCTCATTTACATTTTTCTGTCGGGACTCGTCCATTTTGAGGGTTTAAGCTTTAAAGTGACATTTCGTTTCAGATTCCTGCCTTTGCAGGGGACAGGCGTCTTCGCTTGTTTGCAAAAATCCTGATTCCGAGTCACATTTCACGGCACATGTGCAGCTTGGCATGCTGATTTTGCAACTTTAAACACTTTAAACATTGAAAGAATGCGGAGGGAGACCTCCTCGTCATATTGGGGAACTGGAATAAGCCGAGCTATATTTAGCCGCTCGGTGGAACTTTGTGTTGCGCTTACCTTCAGACACAACCTTGGGAAAACTTAAAGAACTTAAGACAGTTCCTAAATATTTTACAGGACCCCTCATCTGTGAGGAGTTTGTACAAATGATTTATAAGTGCTGCACTCTGGGAATACTTTAGCAATTTGACTTTACTTTCATGCATTTGCTGATGCACAGTAGGGGGGGTGGGGGAGTATTGTGGGGGTAGGATGAACTATGAACTGATGCTGAGGAAGCAGCGATATTTCTCATTCAGTGCACTCTTCCTCTAAAAGCAGGTGTTCACTTTATTCATAATGGAGCTGTAGCACCTGGACAGATATTTGGGTGTATTATGCAAGCCGTGGCTTGAGCTAAGACGTGTGCACATTTCCTTATGGAACCATATCAGGCGGCATTTGCCTCCCTCTGGTATGAAAGTGTTTGATAAATAAAACAATTCCATCAATAAAAAAACAAGTATTAAAATACCAATTTCTTTTCGTTTTTTTTACAAAATGTGTTGTTCCCGACACATTTCATGCGGCCCTGTTGATTGTGTGCGACAAAATGTTTGATGGTTTCTATGGCAACGCCCCCATATCCTCGCAGTTTCAGTTGCGCTGCATCCCTCTGAGAAACATCATTTTATTAGATCTATATTTGTGTTTATGGGGATCAGGCTGACATGTTTGCTGACTTTAGCAGCAATTTCCATCGCAAGACTGTCAACGTTCTGCTGACGTAAAAAACAAAACAAAAAAGAAACAAAAAGAAAAAACACAATTTTGAAATGGTGGTGTTTGCATTCAATAAAATCACAGGTGGATATGTTTGTTTGTGCAGTAAGTCATTGATGCCCACATTGTCCACCTACTTCCTGTCGTCTTCTTCTTCTTCTTGGTTAGCATAGAGGCAATATCTGCTTGTTTATTATGTGACTTTCTATTGCAGTTTTACTGAACAATGATACCGCCAAAACGTATCTTCAAAAAAACTTTTTTTTTCTGAATTGCAGTGTTTCCATTAAGCAAATTTACTTTTGAAATGGTCAAACTGCATAATTACAAGGTCAATAGAAACTGGTTAGGCCCTGTAACCACAAAACGCAGCTGGTTAGGAACCTTTAAATAATTTCTGTTACCTCACGTCTCTTCTTTGCAACCCCACGCTACAGGCCGCTAATCTGATAAAACTGATTTAAAACAAACATCCCATTTAACCAAGCTTGCATTTTTTTCTTTCCCATTTCACGCGCTGTTCACCCACAAGTGGCCTGGACCACATGCACCACTTGCCTTCTCCAAAGAAGGCAAGTGGTTGTTTGCAAGCTTTGTTTGCTCGCAGTGACACGCAGTCAGGTGCACTGTGCAAGAAGGAGAGCCTCGTCAGGCGCCGCGCCGCGTCTGAGAAGGCGTGCACTGACAAAAGCGAGTGGATGCCGCGTGTCACGAGCTCTGCTGCGGCGCCGCTTAATGTAAATCCCATAAGAGGATGCCAAGTGCGTTTCACGTTCCGTCCAAATGTTCATGAATGATTCATTTAATTTTATTTAATTATGAAGGGCAGAAAGGTAGTTTTGAAAAAAAAAAAAAGGACAAGAAGGGAGGGGGTGGAACATGCTACCCATGTATGTATGACGGATTCGGCTGCACATGTTCGCCCACGCAAGCAACACACACAAGTGTTTGCTGGACGAGATGTCCCTCGGCACCTTGTGACTTCACATTAACTGTGTGTGACTGTGTGTGTGACTGTGTGTGTGACTGCGTGTGTGTGTGCGTGTTTATGTAGATGACATCACTCTGCATCGGCACTCAGCCAGACAGGATTTCTCTTGGTTCTGTGCGGCTCGTCTCGCTGGGGGAGCGGGCCGCTCGGAGCTCGGTTTGAACCGAGCGATGGTGACTAATGATGGTACACAAACAAAACGGGGCCACAACAGAACTACAGCAGCCCTGGCACTGGAGCTGTGGTTCCCTGACAGCTTTCCGAGGCCCTTCCTGAAGTCTTCACGC